ATCAACCCTTCAATAAACCTTCCAGAAAAAATATTTAACGATAATAAACTCCGTACTAAACCCTTTTTAGAGGGTTTATAACAGGGTTTATGACTCGTTGATAAACGGTTGAAAAGGGTTTGCGACACGTTGCACTTTCATAAACCCTTTTTTCGTTTATTATTCTACGTTTTCTTTTTACAGTGCAGTCTGTTTACCGACGGTAAACGATGTCAAACCGGTATATTTACGGCAGTAAATAGGCCGTATTTGCCCGTAATACATGGCACAGTAATACGGCACCGTAAACGGGACTGAATTTTTATGGTTTGTGGCTGTTTGTGCTCCGTAGTCTCATGATCATACGGACGTATTATTGCGCCAGATATTACGGCAAACTTTCGCCCGGCAAATAGTCGTAAAGTAACCGTATACGGACCGTACTGTTCGACTTGGGTAGATAGAATATTTTCGTCACTTAAAAACTGAATGATACCATCAATCATGATTCTCCTATATCCCACTATCGCCGAAGCCGAACGATCCGAAGCTCCCAAATTCCACTTTTATTCAACGTATAAATTTATCAAAGCATAATAAGCAATCACTCTAAAATATCGCAACTCATTCTTAAGCGAACAGATCATTTGCGCATTTACCAACCGTGACCTCATATATCTATTATGCCAATGGATATGCCCTCACTCAATTACGTTCATTATCGCAATTAGATATCACGCCAATTAAGTATAGTACTCGATATACTGATGGTCTAACCCGAACGAATTGAGTCCAGGCTCTTATTTCCCTCATATTTGTGACCTCCCTGACTTCCCCGAGTTCCTTGGAATCCCTGAGTTCCCTGAGGGTGTGGGCGTGTGGGGTGTGGCTTTAGAAGAAAACACTCACACTCACACCCAGCACCTGCAGCACTTTTTCTATAGTGAGATTTACTTCAATCGTATGGAAATGAAACGGGAAAATTAGCTTCATTCGAAATAGTAGAAGTGAATTTTTTCTTGAATTTTCACAGAATCTGAATGAGAATTATTTCAGAATAAAAAAGTCAACAGAAAAAGAGAAGTATCCTTCGAAAGTAACCGTATATAAAATTGCAAAATGATATACAAAAAAGTTTGATCCTTCTTTTATTAGTGTGAGAACTAACACTGAGCTCTGATTATTTTTCAGAAGTTTATTTTTCATTTTATCACCATTGCATTTGTACAGCTTCTGCTATCTCTCAGGTATCAAAAAAAGACATTGTACGAAATGCCATACTCCTTGGTAAAAAAGCTGCACATCATTTTATCAGCTTGAAAATTATCTTTGAATTGTAATTATTTTCCAATTTTATTGTGTATTTCATGAAAAATCAATTTTTAACGCCTGGGTCACCCTCAAGAGTCGGAATTTTTTTTGCGCTGGTTTTAATATAGATAGTTATATTTCCATAAAGCTAAGCTTTCTGATTACAAGTATTGTCTCAGTTTTGAATTTCATCGAATAATAAGAAAGATATGAAGCACTCTCTCGGAGGCTTACAAAAAGTTACTGACCTAAAGATCTATGAATATTCGATTGATACTGTTTGAAAATAGGTTCGTTCGATGCACAATGTTTTTTGTATCAGATTATATAAGAACGACTTGGATATTCAATCTTTTTTCTCTTGATAAATTACAAATACTACCCCGATCGGGTCATACAGTTACAAATACTGCTTTTCTCAGTCTTATTAGGTGTAGTTTTTCGAGGTGTACCAATTAGATTTTCTTACTGGGTACGTAATTAAATGTGCTCTTTCTAATGAAAGAGTTTTTAACTTAAAACTCGATGTAATGTAAAGCGTTTTCGCTCCAATACTAGTGTTGGAATGGAATTTCTGTCATTGCTTGACTGATACTTGTTAGTTTCGACCAGAATAATTCCTATGCGACTGNTTTGGGATAAGTTTGTTTTTCGTTATCCATGACAGGGACCAGGGGTGAAAATCTGACCGAAAACAAAAGTTGTAGAAATAATTAAACCGAATTAGATTTTGTGCTTAAAACAAATATAATATTTATATTCAGTCAAATGAGAATTAATCTGCTTGAAACTATCGAATATCGGTCACAACTGACAGAAATCCAGTTCCAATAGTAGTATTGGAGCGAAAACGCTTCATATTACAACGAGTTTTAAGTTGAAAACTCTTTCATTAGAAAGAGCACATTGAATTACGTATCCGGTAAGAAAATCTTTCTGGTACCTCGAAAAGATACACTTCATAAAATTGAGAATAGCAATATTTCTAACGGCATGATGCAATCGGGTAGGTATTTAGCATTTATCGCTAAAACAAAATTTGAATATCTAAGTCGTTCTTATATACTCTGATAGACAAAAACATTCTGTATCGAAGGAACCTATTTTCATACAGTATAAATCGAATATTCATGGACCCTTGGGCCAATAGCTGTTTTTAAGTCTTCCCGAGAGTGCTTCAGATCTTTCTTACTATCCAATGAATTTTAAAATCTAAGATGATATTTGTGATCAGGAAACTTAACTTTATCGAAATATAATTACTTCCACTAAAATTTGAAAAAAACTTTTTTTCGATCCTTGAGCGGTACTCCAGATGTTAAAAATTGAGTTTTCATAAAATACACAATAAACTCGTGGAAAATAATCAGAATTCAATGATGATTCTCAAGCTAATAAAATTAGATGTAGGTTTTCAGTGAATTCAGGTTCTTAATTTGGCACACCTCTGTTTTTATTCTGGAATTAGTGTATTCATCCAGATCGAGGAAAAACAATGAGTTTAACAGAAAACTATGTCATCCTGTTGTATACTTCTCCTTTATTTTACTGTTTCTTTTCCACAACATCTTTAGCATGTTTCAACATCTCTAGTATCTGTTCAGCACGTTCAGCACTTTATAGTAAAATTTGGTGCTTGGAGCCAGCGGTTTCCACCTTGGTGAAAAGCTAAGAATACTAATAATTTCTATAAAATTGATGTAGGGTACACAGCCACGACTATATATGAGATCTTGAAATCAACTGATATTTAGCCCATCTTCCAGAGCTTAATTAACTGTAGATAGAATCAAAAAAATTATTGATCTCCGCTCTCTTTTCGGTTCAAAAATTTATGTGAAATTTTACTTCCTTGCAACGATTCATACATCATGTAAGGCGAATTTGTGAGTCGAAGGAAAAAGCGGAGAGCCATAATTTTTTACGGTGTGCACAGTTCGTTAAGCTGTACAATATAGACTATATATTTGTTGATTTTCCAATCTTATATTTTTTAGTGATAGTGGTTCCCTACAGCAATTTCATAGAAATGAATCGTGTTCTGGACTTTTCACCCTGCTGCACAACTTTTCTATTATTTTTGAGATGATCAGTCGATAGAGCTTGAAAAACTGCACTTACGATTAAAATTTGACGTTGCGGCAGACTTTCTTCATTCTGATGGGTGTGGGTGTGAGTATAGGGAAATCAAATATTGAGACTCACACCCACACCCATACCCTCATATAAATTAAAACTTTAGTAATTATATATACCTCTACATGTATTCTTTTTCAATACATATTGTCCAAATTCTACGACCTTTTTGACATTGTCGAAATTCAGATGATGAGATCCTTTTTGTCGGAATTCCACTATACCGCTGGTGCTACCTATGAAATAACTCATGCTGAATCAAAGAAGGTTCTCGATATCTGTTGCGGTGATACAGATTCGAGAACTAATGTTATAATTTACGAAGCACACCATGGTCAAAATCAACGTTGGAGTATCTGTATCAATGGAGATGGCACCGTTAAAATAATTAATCCACGCAGTGGTAAAGCCTTGGATGTTGATAGAGGTGGCAAGGCTAATACGGTTGCTGGCACTAACGTTCAAATCTGGGCTGACAATGGTTCAAATGCTCAAAAATGACTAATTAAATCTACGGAAGGTGGATTATGCAAGCTGATTCATGCATGTTCTTGCATGGCGTTAAATTTAAAAGATGGAGGAGTGCCAAATGAAACAAACGTTGAAGTCTGGTGGGAAAATGACTCAGAAGCTCAGAAATGGCAAATTCTTCGAATCAACTAATTAGCAGTGTTTACGAAGAACACGCTGTTAATTTCGATTAGTTCTGATTTGCTCTTCCATATTCCATGCTGAAAACGCTTGAAAACACCATGTTTTTTTAATTCTTTAACTGAAATAAATGCGGAAACATCGGATTCGCACCCGATTGTTATGTGTACTGCAAAAACTGAGTCGATTTATATATGTTGTGAATAATTCTGGAAAAAAAATGTTTGAAAAAATGCCTGTATCCCCTCAGGGATGGTCTGGTCAATAATCACAATTTTTTCGATAACTCAGCCATTTCTTAACGGATCCTTCTCATCTTCGAACTCGACTGAGATATTGATGAGATCGTTTTGTCTACAAAATTTCATGGTAATTGGATGAGGCTTTCAAGAGTTAACGGATGGACGGACGTACACACTGACTGAATCTAGAGGGTACTAACTTTTTGAGTGCACATAAAGATAAACTCACGAAACCCAATTATATAGATGATGAAAGTGGCACTTGAGAATTATAATGTTGTTTTTCTTCTATTCTTTCTTATCATTCACACAGATGTTTGTTGATAATAAAGATAAAACAACGCGTTTTTGTGCCTAACAGTTTTATCCAAGAAAGCCAACTCATTGCGTATACTCTTATCTCGAGTTTTAGTCTTACTTTCTTTCAATAACTATCAAATACATTTCGTATTTGGATTTTATCTACTTTAATTGTATTTCGTGTATTCTGGAAAAGCTTTTAAAAACTATCCATGTTTAATCTATGGGAAACAATAATCTGGATTGAATTAAAATGCATACATCTGACGAAGAAATAGAATATTTTTTTGCCGCATCTGAACGATTGGAAAAGTAGCATGAATAAGCTTTAATGGAGCTGTTATGGTTGCAGTTTTTAAAAATTAAATGATTTTTCTAACTCTCAAATATGTTCACTAGCCTTGAATTAAAATTTTTACATTTTTATCATCAACAAACGAAGTTATTAATGAAATCTCATTAAAACAACGGGTAATAAATAGCATTATCAACTCATCTGCCTCTATTCAGTGATTCTATTACAGTAGCTCATTTTTCGATGTAATTATGCATCTTTTGTCTTCACTAAAAGATAGTCCTCACTTTAAAATAAAAATTCTTGTGCAAAATTCATTAGCATGGTGCAATTTCAGATATATTTGAATATATTCGTTCAATTGAACTTTTTCGATATTGCCATGGTCTCAATAAACGCGTTGACAATCTGATATTGGTTCATATTCAAAGTTTTGGTCTTGATTTTCGTTTAGCATCAAAACAATATTTTGATATTGTTTCTCAAACGCATCTTCAAGTAATTAAACATCAAATTTTTTCGCTTAGTCTTTCGAATGATGATGGAGAACGGGTACAAATTCATTTATTTCGTTTTTGTGAGTGGAATCTCAAAAAATTTTCATATCCTCGATCTCTTTCATTGGATCATATTCACTTTGACAAGACAATAAGTGATATTTTATCAGAATATTTTCATTTAATTAATTTAAAATTAACTAGATTTTATTTTCGATGTGCACAAGAGAAGATTCTTCGTTTTATGAATTATATTTGGAGTTTACCTAAACTTCAATGTTTTTATTTGAGTGCAAATTCACACAAGAGGTTAGCTTTTCCAACACCAACAAATTGTTCATCTTCCATTGCATATTTATCGATTAGAGGTTTTAGTTATCTCGATAACCTATTAATTCGTTTGTGTCATCATACACCTTGTGTTCAATATTTATCGTTAGATTTCAATTATATTGAAAGCAATTTACCAATATCAATTGAATCAATAGATCAATAGATGAATTACATGTAGCTTTCGATAATTGCAAAAAGAATAGAATAGAAAATATTTTACAACATATTCCGAATGTATATCGGCTGAATATATGAATGGGAAAATATTATTCGAAATTATTTACCGAAACTTAAAAGATTTCAATTAAAAATGAAACTGAAAATTGAAAAAGATTATAACGAAGATTATTTATTGAATTCTTTTTGAACTCAATTTTGGCTTGAAGAACACCGATGGTTTGTTCAATATCATATTAATACAACTGATTATGATCAAATCGGTTACATTTACACACTACCCTACAGTTTTACTGATCTCGATATTTCGTTGCCAATCAAAGTTAAATCAACTTGTCCTAATTCTGAATATTATGGCACATATGATCGCGTTCAACATATTACTTATTTTACTCATATTAATCATCTTTCAATAAAACTTCCTGCTTGCTTGAAAACTCTCTCGATAATTAAACGAGCGTATCGATTAAAGTCAATGGAAATATCAAGACCGAAAAATATGTCGAATGAAGCGACGCAGTTAGAAATTCAAACTCTACTAGATCATATACAACATAATCTTTATTCATTCAAGTTTAATTCATGGTCGAAAGAGCAATATGATGATTCATCACTCAGTGAAAAAATAATACCAATTGTAATGCGAAGTCCATCTATTCGACGTGTCAATCTGCTTGGTTGTGATACTTGGTTTACTGGTGAACAATTTTTTAAATTGAATTGTTCACCACTTGTCACTCATTGTCAACTACTTCTGATCAAAATTAAACAACGAAAGACTATACGCGCTATAATCAATGTAATGCCTAATCTTCGAGCATTAGTGGTTCGATGTAGTGGCGTAACCAGCATTTGCCGGGTAGCTGGGCTGTGCCCTAACATTTTTCCAAAAATTAAAGAATTCTACTATTTTTGTGGAAATCGGCAAAATTCTTCATTCGTTTTTCGAAACTAATGCTGAAATCGTGTTCTACCTCTAAAACGTGCAAATCACGCAACCAAGTATTCGACGTTGTATTACGTGCGGTCGTTTTTATCAATTCATTTTACTAAATATTCTTTCATAACTGATAAACGAAACAGGTATAGTCATAACAGCAGCGACAAGAAATATAACAGTTGGAATTGTCTGTTTCAGTGACACTCAAGCATAGAGAAATTTTCGAAAACGCGTTCAAACGCACAGAGAACGACGAAAAATCGAGAAAAGTGGGCATGTTTGGAGGACAATAGAGGTTCCCAATTTTAAGCGAAAAACGCTCATTTTTCGCTCTAATTGTGCATTCAAACGCGTTTTCAGCTCACAGTTAGGATCACCGATTATCATGCAAGTACACCCACTTTTCCTGGATTGCTTTCCTCTTTTTTGTACATTTAAAAGTGGTTTTTCAAATTCTTCTTTGCTTGGGAAATGGTGTGGGGGTGGGGGTGGGTGGGTGTGGGTGTGGGTGTGGGGTGAGGGTGTGTGGGTGCGAAGGACTTGAAGTTTCCACATGAACACGCACACACGCACCCAGACCCACCCACACCCGACCCAAGTTTCTTTCATGTATTATTCATTTATTTATTCATTTGTCTATTTATTTATTTATTTCTTACTTGTCCGGTCCTTGCTGTATTTCTTTACACCATTGGTAATTCGCTTTAAATTTAATTTCACACCCACACCCTCAGGATTTCTGGTAAGTCATCAGTAAAGCAAAAGAAAAGAAAGAAGCGTCGTGTTGTCTTTCTACATTTAGCAAACGAATATTGCTCACTTGCAACAAGCATAGTCGGTGTTCTGATTCACTCTTGTCGGCTGCTTCTCTTTTCCTTTCTCGTTCGTGTAGTTAAGTGTTTTCTTCCGCTGTACACATTCAAATTAATACAGAGAGCAAAAGAGAGAAAAAAGAGAGAGCGAGAGGTGGCTGTTACACTAGAGTCGAAGATTCCGTTTTCTACTGCATTCGTAGACAAACAAAATGGTCAATTTCAATTCAATAGAAGCCTACGCGGACGGTAAAACATACAGAGCACGCCGAGGAGCTTTCAAATGGCTTTCCCAGAAAATCCATGGCCCTGACGCACACCGTGCACAACTCAACGATTATTTTTCTACGGGTCCGATACAAAAAGTCATAGTCAAAAAAGTATTGACTGAAACCGACCCACACAATAATCGATATCAAAGAGCAAAGCCTTTATGGGTCCATGCAATAATAAAAAAAGGAACACCTGCGGCATGGAGAAGTAACTGCAAGGACCGAACGCTTAGCTCGTGTGATTAATGACAGAGGCCTCGGTAATGACGATGCCGGTCATATTGTTGCTTGTTCCTTGGGTGGAAAGATGATCGATATCAATCTTTTCCCTCAAAACAAACACCTCAATCGTGGTTTGCAGGGTAACTACCTTCTTTGGAGAGAACTTGAAAGATACATGCACTTATGGGTCAATAGTCTACCGGAGGAGTGTAACCCTCGACTGTCCTATCAAATGTTACTCCATTACGGCGACGAAGAAAATCCCCATCGACCTGATAAATTTGAATACAACATTCAGTTTGAGCTAGATGATGAAGAATCGGATGCAACCGAAAATGAAGACACTGATCAAATACGTGATGGTCGTCACTTGTTCAATGTTGCAACAGTAGTCTTAGAATGTCCAATCGAAGAGGCATCTAAACTAGAACCGAGAATCAAATCAGAGATTGCCTTTATGTCGAAGAAAGTCAAAAGGCATGCAGAAGAATTTCTCAAAGAATTGGCTGATATCCTTCCAAGCATGAAGAAGAATCCGCCTCCTCCTCCTCTTCGCACCACAAATTTTCGTGGCAGACCTATGTCAACATGGGATTTCGTTCCCATCGTGGGTTCGATAAAATCCATAGTGGAAGGAGCAGAAGACCTCAAAGATGGGTACCATGCCAGTGCAGCAACAAATCTTGCACTGGGTGTCGGCGGATTGGCACTTGACTTAGTTTCCGTTGGCATGGCGGTTACAGCAACGAGAACCGTGGTAAAAGTAGCAGCACAAGAAACCATCAAAGGAGCAGTGACCACAGCGGCAAAAGGAGCGGGAACATTGGCGGTAACAAAAGTAACGGAAGCTGCCGCGGTGTATGTCGCTACTCGTGCAATTAAAAGAACAATACACGAGAAACGACGGAAATGATGGAGTAGCACAGCAGTTCCTCTTTACGGTTTTATTAGAATGTGGGTGTGAGGGTGTTGTTAAGGGTTTATTCATACAAACACCCACCCATGTGTGTTTGTGCTTGTGTTTATTGCATTCTTTGATTATGATTATTCTCTTACTGCCTTTTTTGGGCTGCATATTGTTATTATAAGAAAACATATACATTGATATTAACATTCATGCCCGAATTACTTATGAACGAACGAAATAATAGTATTTTGATTTCAAATATAAAAAATATTAGTAATGCATTGTTTTATGACGGATTTTCTCAAGAAAATAACATGCACTATCTATCGAATACTCATGGAACTTTTCACCTAAAAAACTTACTAGATGAAATTTCGTTTTGTGATTGAATAGCAGATGTTCACGATTAATAACTGTCGCCGAATTACTACACTACCTGTTGCCTGGAAAGACACGCGTATGATTCTTTTAGCTAAAAAGAAATCCATTTGCTCTCCGGCTGAAACGCGTCCTATCTCTCTGTTGGATGTATTCCAAAAAGTAGGAGAGAAACTTTTCCTAACGCGCTTCCAAGATGTGTTAGACAGAAGAGGTATTCTTCCTGATACTCAATCAGGCTTTAGAGATAAGTTCAGACTACAAACTCGTTTACTGTTGTTCTTAGAGGACGTTCATAGCTTAATGTCGAATAGTGCGCCGGTCAGTACAATTTTCGTAGATTTCAGGTCAGCGTTCGACCAACTCTGGCACATAGGTTGTATAGGAAAACTACGCAGATTAGGCATCCCACGCTCCTACCTAGACTGGATAGAAGCTTGGCTAATAAATAGACGTGGATACATTGAAATCAATGGTAAAAAGTCGCGATGGTTTTCAATCGAAAAAGNCTCACTGGTTGTTCTCTCCTGTATCTTCTTCTTTCGACCGCGTGAAATGGTATGGTCGTGGTCTTCTTCTCTTCGTTACGTTACTTAATTTTTTCATATTGTTATCGTTCTTTATCTTTATCTTTATCTTTTTCATTTTTTCATTTCTTTTTCCCTTTCACTGTTTCATCTTCTCCTCATTAACATTGTACTGCAAGGATCAATTCGATCACAGTGTCAGCAAAATATAATAATAACTGTCGCCGAATTCAAAAGCTGATTCTTTAAAGAAGTTATATACAACATTATAAGGGCAAAGAATTCAAGAGAATCTGAGGGGGGAAAACAAAGCTGTACACCTTCTGATGATATTATATTCAGTGGAAATCAGAGCGAACATGTTTTGATAATTTATCGTGATAATTATCTAATTGAAATCGACCACTAGACTGGCTGGAATGTGAATGTGGATGTTTGATTGACCACTAAGTACGTCCTTATCAAACTCTATACTATTGTTATTCATTTTTGAGGTACTGTAAAAACGAAAACCTAAATTATATACAAGACAGATTAATATGTTTTTTGCTTCGTTTTTATAAAACTAATAGCCATTTTAGATAGGGGTGTGGGTACAAGTAACAGGAATGCCCACACCCACACGCACCCCACCCAGAAAGCGGACAGAATTTGTAGCATATAGAGATCTTAATGTTACTAACACCATTTCAACGGATATTAGAGAAAATTTTCTTCTTAAGAAAATCACGCAGAAAAATGCTGACTTTGGATGCGTACACGACGGACTGCATGAATGCTTCTGCTTCGAATCGCATTAAAAACTTACTGAGTTCGAGATGTTTTTCGATATCTTTGATGTGTGATACAAGTAATTATGATGATTTTCTCGTGACACGTCTATATACATCGAATATTGAATCTAGAAAAGTTTAGTTTATTTTTCGAGACTGCAGATTGCGAAACATTTATCGATCGTAGCAAATTGAAGAAAAAGGTCAATGTCATATCTACTCACACCCAATACAAGAAAGTGTTACGATAATATTACAAATAGTTTTCTCGGTGGATTACTCAAATGTGTTCGAAAAGTATCGGTATTTGATGAACGTTCTTTCGAACATGAATTTTTCATTTGTAACGAAATTCAGTGTAACAAATCGAGCACCACAAAATCTCAAGCAATTTCAAAAGCTAAATAATATTAGCCAAGAATTCTCCGTAGTTAAATACCTTCATCTTAGGACTTTGAATTTTACCGATATTCATGATGATTAAAGTCGACGAATTTCTATTCGATACAAAAACGTGTTTACCAGATAATCCTTTTCTTTCAATTTATTATACTATGAAGAAGAATTACCGAATCATTTTAATTCGCACTTTCCTCAGGTATCTTCGGTAATAAATTCGACACGAATGAAAAAACTTTTAAATATTTATACTAGCGATGCGTGAGACCAATTGTTTTGGTGCCGAACTTGTTCCCTATATAGATAATCAGTAGTGAAGAGATTAGAACACTAAAAGTTGATTCACAGACAGGCATAGATTAAACTTTGAATAATATCCGATTCAGTTTTTTCTTATTTAATCTAGTACTATCTTAATATTTTTGCACAATTGTTTGATTTGAAAACTAGTATTTCATAAAGCTATCAGTTTGTATTATCCTTATATGGTGCAGAGGCAATTTCAGCTCATCTGAAACGACTTACAATTTATTGTTTCTATTAATCATATGCGCAAATCTACTGGTGTATTGGTAAATCACTGTATCGACGTAACAGGCATCCTGATTTTCTTTGCTGCAGTAGCTAAATTAAATGTAATTCGTGTCTACGATATCGAAATCAAATTTATGAAATATAATTAATACAGTAAGCCTAAAGTAGTTTAATTGTAATTATATAAACTCTCGATTTATGTTAAACAGTACCCAACACAGTTTCGTTTAATACTAATTTTATCATAAATCTTGTCTTTTATTCCACCATAAAATTTTATTATTCATTGGCATATCAAATGTTTCTTTGAGTTCAAGTTGATGATGTTTAGCAATCGCTTTCAATTCATCAATTCCTTTTAAACCCCATCGTGAATCTTGCATTTGAAGATGAGCATGAAAACGTCGATTACTTTCTGGTGTAATTCGTCCATCACCTGGTAAGGCATATGCTCCATACGTAATTAAACCACCTCCAGGTTTTAAAACTCGTCCAGCTAATTTAAATAATCCTTGTGTACATTCTATGGGTGTGATATGAATAAGATTCGAACAATAGACAAAATCAAATGATTCATCATCAATGGGAGCTGGTGAGAGAAGATCGATCGATATAGGCGCTGCTACATTTTTTGTAAATGCATCTACTTCATATTCATCAATATAAGCTTGAATACTTTTTAAATATTTTGGATCACAGTCTGATGGTTGAAAATTAGCAAGAGGAAAATGAGCTGCAAAGTGAACAATATGTTGACCAGTGCCAGAAGCAATTTCAAGAATGGAGACTGGTGTAGACGATGGTATAATAGTATCAAGTAATGTGTCGACAATCGGTTGTTTATTACATTCAGCTGCTGAGATCACAAGTTTATCAGGAAACAGATGTTGAACATGAATATCATCACCATCAGTAGTCATGATTCTTAAATAAAAAACTATCTAATTGAAGTATTTGGTGATTTTATAATCCAGTTTAATTTAATAATCACCTTTTTTTCTTTTTCTATGACTTATGTGAACAACACGTGGAAAGAAAAACAACGAACGTGTTTTTTTTCAAAAGAGAAAAAGAATTTAATTGGTTAACGAATGGGATCTATTTTTGATAGATGAGGCTAGCTGATTGTTTGATAGAAATAGCTTTTGTAGAAAAAAAATAAAGTCATTTTTCAAATATTTACAAACGTTTTGAATAGTGGTAATACATTTAAAAATTAATCAGTGGTTTCTAAATAGACCCTAAAATCCTGTTTCTTATATCTGCAGTTCAGTTACTGCCTAAGAAAAACTAAATTATTGTCATCATGTTGCAATATGTAAACAATATCCGTTTTCATTACTGTTCGGAAATCTCGTGAGTGTCTGAAGTAACTGATATGGATGATGTGAAAAGAATATAGCCGATTTATTGAACTTACAACTGTAACTCGTCTCAAAAGAAAACGGCATGTGTTGAAATACTCTTTCTATGCACTATATGGTCTTATAAGATTAGAACATCACTTTGTTTTTTAAACCAATATGATTCAATTGCGATGATATCGGAGATCACAGATAGAGAAAGATTCAGATATTAATGCAACTTTCACTGACTGCAATACAAAATACAAATATTTCATCATCCAACGAGTCTGTTTTTGACAAGACTAAATTAAATTCACGTTGAGTAATTTTGAACAAGAATACTGGCATCAGTACATATAGTGAAATGTTTGTTTTACACAACATGAATGAGCATCAAGGGTCAAAAGAACTAATCTGTTCTGAACTACGAAAAAAACTTGATAAAAACGATCAACTTTACGTTTTCTGTTTCTGATCTTAAGCAAACTAGTATTCGATTTCTTGGAACCCATGATTAGTAATTTGATACACTTCCTCCTGTAATAGCATTTTGGGGAAAAGCATGCAAAATAATAAATACCTATTTTTGGTACTTGTGCTCGAAATCATAGCGAGTCAATTTAGTAGAATTGTTGCTTTATTATACTGATAGAATAAAATATTTAATTATTTCATTGAATGCAGTGTATAAACAATGATAAAATATGTATTTATATCCAGAATATAACATCGATCCTTCAGTAATAATCAGCTTTTTTTTACTGATTGAAAGTCTAGTACAATCGCGTGAGACAATAATTATATTTATGCAAATGTATAAGGTATTTTTCTTGTAGCTATAGGAATTAGTTGTCTATCTTTCTCTTTCTTTCTTAGATGTCAGTCAGTATGTTAACATTTGCTAGTCGATTGGATTTTTTTTGTGAATGCTTCTCTCTCCACTGATTATTTTTCTTCCTTCGTACATTATTTTTTCTCCTCCTCTCTTTCATCGCGGACAAAGTCAGCTGATAGACAAAAAAGTTGCTGAAGTTCCTAATCGACAAAGAAACATAGAAAATAAAACGATCATATTATAGTAAACAGTGATTTTATTGTTTTACTGCTTAATATTAAAAGTAGATCTCTTCTTTTCCCGAAGGCAAATGCTGAAATTCGGTATTAAAAAATTATAATTTATATTTTGATTGAGAATATTTCCGTTGCTTTAATATTATAAAAAGCGTATGATGATAGAATTTCTTCTTTTACTGTTATTACAACATCGCTATTTCACTTCCGTTGTACTATCAGATCAATCTTGGTTAGTCTAGTTGATCGTCTTAGTATGTCACAGAATCTAAGCCTATGTAGCGTGTGTATGTGTGCTCATTCATCTTATATTATTCCATTTAAGAATAGAAAACATGATCTTCTCTTCATGTCTTCGTCGTCATTGTTTTTTGGACTATGGGAAAAGAAATTGATGACTTCGTCGGAATAAAGAAACACACCGTTCTTTTTTCGGGAAGAGTATGCTAGATGAAGAGAAGGAAAAGTTATATTAGTAATAGTGCAAAATGTCTTGTCGCTCTTCTTCATTATCAATTTCTTTGTTAGACGAACGGAACAAGCATACTCACTACTACATTATCTTTCTGTTTTTTATACTCTACCGGCATTATACACGTAAAAACGTTTACCGGCTTTCGCCTTGGTTGGTTATAGTTGTGAGATGTCTTTTAGTCAAAAAGAATGAACAAAATTTTTTTTTGGGAGAACAATACAGGAAGATAGCCTTCCGCGTCGGTTGTATGCCACTTTTCTTTCTTATGTGCAGCTCAAAGTTTTTTCTTTGAAATTGATTCCAGCATCGTTCTATTAGTGAGACAAGTCGACGAGCATGTCAAACTGAGCATGCGCTAGAGCGTCAACAGATTAATAGAAAGCAACAAAAGAAAATGAGAGAAAAGAGAAAAAAAACGAGAACATACCAAGTCTATTCACTCATCACTAGGTATTTTCATAAATAATGAAATAGTCACTCAAAAGAAAAAATAGTGAGGACAAAAAAGAAACACGAGATTCTTCTTTTTCTTTTCTTCATTATTTCATGTTACGATTTGCCATTGTAACTGATGTTGAGGAGATGATCGTCAATATTTTGCTTCTTTTTTTTATAGATATGCTCACTCATTCACCAAGAGATCGTTCCCGGTCACCTCATAGTTCTGATGGAACTTCATCAGTGAAACAAACGCATCAATCAAATCAAAATGATTCATCTAGTCAAATCGAATCAACTGATAATAGTAAAGACAAAAAAGAAAATGATTCTCAACAACATATGAAAAATCTTAAAGTAAGCGGTGAGAAGAAAATTTAACTTCATTCACATTGGTTTTCTTACTGAAGTCATTTATTCAAACACTATTGAATGAATCAACATCGACTATCGATTCAACATATGATGAACAAATGAAAATACTTGAAAGTGCTTGTATCGAAGAATATCGTGATCTATCTACTGATCGTATTCGACGCATGATTCGTAGTGCATTAAAATTACGTAAAACTCAGCCATCATCTTCAACTGCAACTTCACATACAACAACTAGTCCATTCTTGCATAAGGTAGAATATTTAATTATGTTCAATTAACAATGACATTTACTTTTATAGGATCATACAAAAACGTTATCCACGACAAATGAACGTTTCAATTCCACTGAGAATACTAGCAAAAAAAGTCGTCCCAGTTCAGTATCAAATAATTCAACGACAAAAACAGTGAGTTTAATTGCAATATATTAATATTCTAATTAGTTATCTATAGGCTGATTTGGCTTCATCATCGCCATCAGCATTATCAGCACTTGATGCTGATTTTCTTCGTCATGCTTTTTCACAACAATTTCGACCATCACTCGATCTATCGGCATATTTCTCAGACGCTTTTGTTGCTCCTTCAAATGGTACTAGTGCACCATCATCTCTCTTCTGTCCGAATTTTTCTCCGTCAACTTTTCTTCAATCATTGACAAATACAACATCACTGACTCCGTCTATACCACTACCACCGCCTCCACCCACCTTCATTTCGTCTCATGCACATACGAATGGTTAGATTTTTGTTTTTAAAATAATCTTTATGTTTCATTTGACTGCTCAATAGGAACAAGTGATTCATCGCCTGTTAAATCGTCAAAACAAATGAAACTCTCTAGTACAGAAGCGACTTCAATTAAAGTTCTCGTAAATGCTTACCGTGAAGCCGCTTCATATTTAACTCGATCAGCTGATGAACTTGAACAATTAATGTAATTAAATCGCCATTGATATTATGTAGCTGTATATTTGTATTTCTTCTCATTTCGTTGAAATATTAGAAAATTAACCTAAGCAATTTAGATTGACTCTGCTTGGTTTTAGTCTACAGCAATGTTAAATTCGACATCATGCTTAAACACACTACATACAAATGAACAAGATCACTTTATGTCACCAGAAAGAAAAAGAAAATGAAAGTGAATGTTCTTCATCATTCATCAATTAATTATCTAGAACTTGACATTGTACTTCAACTGTGAAGCATAGAGACATACTATCAAAAAATCTTTGGAAGGTTAATGTGTTCATTCTAGTGATGTAACAAGCGCGACGATTAAGAATTCATATGGTTCTGAAAATGAATATGCCATAATCAAGTGTCGTATGACGTGTGATAATAGTGTAGAAATTAGTCTCGTATAAATCTACATTAACGCTTGTCTTTTCAGATGGATAGACATCTATACTCGCTCTAAAATGCTTACATTTGAATTATAACATTATGTGCCGTCTATCTAACAGGATGATGGTGTAAATAAGAGAGAGTAGTTTAAATCATTTCTTGATTATAAGTATTATATTTGAAGTATATTTAATGTGTTGCTAAACTCAATAATACGAAAAAAAGACGCGAGTAGATAAACTTACTTTCATTATTTTCTTCGGATATAAATGTGAGTTTCATTCTTATTCAGGTTAATCTATAAGAAGAATGTTTTTTTGAGAAGGTAAATCTTTATTTGAAAATTAAGAAAAAGGGGAAAATAATGAATTTGTCTTGATTAAAGTCATCTTGTATTTAGTTTTCTAAATTATATGAAAATAGAGATAAAAATAATTAATAGTATTAATTCTTTTTCAATGTCATTTCAGTATCCTTTAATTGCTCGAACACGTGTTTAGCGATAGCATCTTCAAACGTGATTTTATCATTGAATGTTGAAATTTGAAGGTCAATATGATTTTTAAATTCAGCAATCATCATATTTATCTCATTTGAGCAAGGTAGTATATGATACGCAATTTGTTTGTTTTTCATCGCTTGTAATATATTTTGAGCAGTTTTTCCACATGGACAACCATTTGGCCATTTGTCGTCCCGTTTTGTATATATTTTGCCGTGCGGAGGCGCATCAAGAATATGAAATAATAGATGATCAGCATTTTGACGCCAATTTAATGCGCATGCTGCATCAAGACCATCAAGTACGGCCTCTGGAATATCACCACCCGAACCGCTTTTCAAATTCATTACATACTTCATAGCCGCTGTGTGATTTGTAAAATCACATTTATGATAAATATAATCTCCTTCTGGTTTATGATCTCGATAGTCAACAATAGCAAATTGAAAATTACATTTTGATTTGATTTTTGTCAGAAATTTTTGATGATTACTAGTAATACTAGTAATAGTTTGTTTTACTTTTTCAAAGTATTTTTCCATAGAGCCAGTTGTATCGATAACAAAACATACATCAACGCCTTTATACAACTCGAATGAATGTGAATCCTCTGGGCATTCAAAAACATGATTTCCAGTATGTCAAGCATCTAATTTACAAAAAGCTTTAACAGAATCTTTAACAATAAAACCATTTGTGTCACGGACGACATGATCTTTGCAGTATGTATTACATAAATCAGTTAACTTTCGATCAGTTTCATTATGAATAGGTGGAAACCATTTATGTTGTGACCAATATGTAGAACATAGAATTTGATCGAATTTTTTTGAACTTGGCTGATCTGGTCCGTAGTAATATGTAGCATCAGAATGTTTCGCTTTATTACCAAGTACTTTTCCCCAACATCCAGAACCACCAGGGCATTCCAATAAATGAAAATGAGCTCGTCCACGACGTTTGCACGATACACTACAGTTTTCTGGTTGCACTGATTCTCCAACTTTATATTTTCTTGCTTCAGTTTCTGGTGATTCGTTTGAACGTATTTCAATTGTATCAGTTGGATTTGTACTTGTAAATACGTGTGAATCTTTATTTCGATGAAGTGTTCTATGAAATCCACTATGACCATGAGGATTTCTACAAAATGATCCACAATCAGGACATCTTTCTTGGCAAGTATGTTGTTTATGTCCATCACATTGATGAATTGTAGTGTCACCATGCGACGATTTTCCTGCTGGAATCAAGACTCCGCATTTACCACGAACTTCTTGTACTTCAATATGTTCGTATTGAAATTCTTCGCCAGATTCTGTTTTCCATTTTCTTTGCTGTGTCTTATATTCCTGTTGACAAACACCAGGTGCATCACATATACCTTGACAATAATGAGACTGATCGCATAAATGTTTTTTCATTTGACGAGTTTCACAGCCAATACTTATCGTAACTAATCCTGTTGTCATATCATGATTATGATCTTGTGTTGCACATGAATTACCACATGAAAGCATACATGGCTTCCAACAATCTTTTTTGTTGCATTGATGAATTTTATGCTGTATGAGATCTAATGGTATGGCGCATGGATCCGAGCAAATACAAGTTACTGGGCATTGATGAATACCTTCACATTGATGACGTTCTGGTTCTCTGTGGCCGTATACGAATTGACATCTACTAGTTGGCATATCATAGAACTGACAAATGTCACAGAATTTCGTACATATATGACCGCCATCACATTTATGTTCGCCATTATGTCCCGCTTTGAACATACACAGATTTTGTTTTGTTATAGTTTCTGTCGCACATATTTGACACATACCAGAACATTTATGATCTGTTTTACAGTCACAGTGGTTTTGAGCCTCTTTTTCTAGACGTAAAATTTCTGTCGATAGACGAGAATAAATACTAATATCTAATAATTGTTGTTTTAAATTTTCATTTAACGAACGTGCTGTTTCATAATCTTTGACAACAATTTGATACTCTTCGTTACATTTTTGAGAATTCACGTAGTTAAATGAACGATTATTACCGGTGATTTCATCTAACTGTTTACTTAACTGATCTCTCACAGTTATAAGCCTAGCGAGTTCTTCATCGGCAGCTTTGAATGCATTCGATAATACTGCATTATCATCTATTAATGTGTTTGCTTGAAAAATCTCATTCAACCTTTTCAAATTAGTATTCAGTAAATTTGTAAGATTGGTAAGTGATTCAAAAAGTGTATTTCCCGAAATATTTAATTCTTCATTGAATTGAACCATTTCTTTGCAATTCCCGTATGCGATATTTTGCTCGTCGAGTTCTTTGCTGATATTTGACAATTGTTGATTTTGCTCATTTAATTTTGCCTTGTTTGATGATAAATTATTGATAATGAGTTCATGTTTTTCATTTAAACTTTCAAGAGATTTTGAAAGTACATCATGACGATCTCGTAATATTTACTTTTGCTTGTCTGCGTCAAGTTCTGGTTCGTTCAAAATTTTGGTTAATAGAGGATTATTGCTGTATAATATTAACTTTTCTTGTTCTAATTCATTCAATTCAGTTGAAAGACCGTCGTACTGTTTATTAAGTTTCTCTAACTTTTGTTTCTCCTGCTCGATGAAGTCATCGGGATCATCTTCTTCTAAAGTTGTAATCTCTATTTTCTGCTTATTTACCCGCTCCAAACATTGAGACAAACGTTTTTGTTTTGATTGAATTTTTTCATCAGCTGAATGTAGAATTTGCTTGAGCTGATCGATTTGATAAAGTTCTTCATCCATCTTTTTCAATACCGACTGATCTGCCTCGATAGAATCGACTTTTTTCTGAATACGATCAAATAGTTCAACAATGTCTTTGACTTTTTTTTCATTAGTATTTATTTCTTCCTGGCATTGACGGATTCGATTATCATCATTTGATATTTCTATTTCGTTTCTATGATCAGCTATCATACATTCTTTTTGATATTTTTCGCCTAAAAAGAATTGTAACTTTTTAACTTCTTGTTCTTTGATTGTCTCAATATTGTCATGTTCATTAGAATTATAGGAATGACAAATTTTATCTCGCTCATCTTTCAAATATTTAATGTAATGCTGAATTTTTTTATGAATAAGTTGATCCATAGTATCATTTGTTTGATGATCATCATCAATTGTTTCCGATAATATTTCTTGCTGAATTTTTATATCATTTATCTGTTTAGCAACTTCTTCCTCTTCGATTTCGTTTTCTTTAATCAATTTCATCGTATTTTCTGTTTCCTGCTGAACATTACTTTGTTTCTGTTTAAGTTCATTCACTTCGGTTTCTATATTGTTCAAATCTTCTTTGTATTCATCAAGTTGTTTTCCGATATGTTCTAAATTCTTTTGAATAAATATAGAATATTGGAAAATCTGATCAATATTTTTGTTCATCATAGCCAAAAATAATGGTGTTTGATCTTGACAATGACCTATTATTCCAGTTAAGTCATTAATTTCTCCTTCTATCGATAAACACAATAGATCAGTTTTAGGTTTATCATCTTCTTTATAGTTTTTATGAAATAAATCGACCAGTATGTGCAATTGATCGCTATTGTATTGATTAGGATTTATGATAAGTAAAAGTTCTGCATCAAGATCTTGTGACAATTTACTCATGTCTTGCAAATCATTGCTTGGCAAAAGAATTTTTAACTGTTGATCAATATCATAGATCTTTCTTTGCAAATCTTGAATCTTTTCATTTTCAATAGCAATCTTCGAATCATATTCATTATTTTGCGTTTCAATTGCTTCTTTTTCGATGAGATCTTTTAGTTCAATAGATAATAAATTCATGGTTTGACGAAGACTGTTTTCTTTTACTGATGCTGCACATATTTCTTGATTTAATTTTTCCATATGTTCACGAGTATTTTCCAAGTCCGTTGTTTCCAAAGAAGTTAGTACCCGTTTTAACTCTTCTTTTTTCTGTTCAAGTAAAAATTTTGCTTCCTGTGTATGTTGAGAATTTTTAACACATTTTAAATCACAAATTGAACATTTTTTCAAACATATTTGTAATTTAAATGAACGCATATATTGTTCGATTGTACTCAAAAATTTTGTTTTTACTTCTTTAGTGTTATTATTTTCTACTGGAAGTTCTCGTTTAAAATTTTCAGTCATCCATTTTTTTATTTGTTGACTACGATAACTCATAATTTCAGGAATCAGTTTATCGACAAATTCTCGTGTTTTATTCATTTCTTCTTTGGTTTCAGTTGTAGAATCATTTTGAGGATTTACATGATTGAGAATAAATTCACAAATATTATCGAAGTTTTGATCAGAAGCATTTTCTTCCAAGTATAATTTCTCATGATTCAATTTAACTGAATATTGTTTATCATTGAATGTGGTTTCTATAATTTGTTCATTTATTTCAACGTTTTCTTGATCGTCTAAATCAAATGTAGTCCAAGCTTTTTTCATTCGTTCAATTAATCCTACTAATTTCATTTCACACTGTATTTGATCAGAATCAATAAAATCATTGGTATATAATTGTACTAAAAGAATTTTCAAACGGTCAGCTAAAGTTTTTCCATTTTCCCATCGACGCGATATCTGTGATTCAGTATTAATATAATTGAAAAATAATTGACGTAATCCTTTAACTTCATGATCAAAGTTTCTATTTTCAAAATGATGCAATAATTGAACTTTGAATGTATTAGAAAATAATTGTTCAAGAAAGCCACTTTTACCTCTACTTTGCAAATCTAAAAACTTCTTCTTAGCAGCCCACAACGATTCTTTGGCATCATTATCGCTTATATCACGAATTGCCATTAACAATATTCCTTTGAATAATTTTTCACTTTCACTTATTTTTTCCACTGCTTGCGATAAAAGAGCAAATAGACGATCTTGAAAACGACTAAATCCTAAATCTTGACTAAGAATTGTTATGTCACAAACAGCAGTTAATAATGAAATCAGTTTTATTTCCTCATCATCAGTCCGTTGATCACTAAATAAGCCTTCGCAATCTAATATAACAAAATGTGTGTTGTTAAGGAAAACATAACTCATCCATATGCCATCAGTGCATCGTCCAGCTGCAACAGCGAATCTTGTTTGAAATATTACATCTAATAAATAACTTTTTCCTGTTGACTGACGACCGAGAATACCAATTATTCGAATATTTTCATTTTCATTGATATTATTTAATAAATAATCTAAATATGAAAATGAAATTTCTCTTGCTTTCATATCAATACGAAATGATTTTGATGCTAAATGATCCATTCGATCACGGCGTCCATTATTCAATGGAACAAGAGTACCCGATTCAATCGTACAAAGTTGTAGTGGTACACGACTGAGTATGGTTTTAATTAAACATTCAATATCTATTGTAGAACACCTTAAATCCATGTTTTCGTATCCTATTGTTAATTTTCCGAAGACACCCAAACTTTTGAAATATTTTTTTATTTTATCACAATACGATATATATTCTGGTGGTAGTACTAAACAATATTGAGTTTCATTCATTAAATCTGAAACACCAAATTGGATTTCACCCCTTTTAATTATATCCAATAATCGATTACCAATGTATTGTTGAGATGATTCTGCTAAATTATTCAAACTTTCCTGTCGTTCAATGCGTGTATCTGAGATTAGATTTTGAATACAGTATACTTCATTAACTTGAGAGTTAAATAATACACAATATGTATCAAAGAAATCTGTAAAAATTTGCATTTTATAAAATTGTGCATTATGAGCTAATTTGATACTAAACATTTGACAATAATTTTGATCAATTATATCAATACAACTTTTTGCTTGAAAAAAAAAGATTGGATTTTTTTTCTCCAATTGTTTGAACGTTATCATACAGTTCACCATCGTCAGTCGTAAAATTTCTTTGATTAATTGAACTATTCGTAGTTTTATATAATAATAATGTAAGTGCAGAATTTTCGTTTGAGATATCGATTGAATAGACTGTGGAATTTGAGTCGATGAGGATCAATAAATCCTGTGCTGCAGTTAAGGCCAGACTTTTTGCACCACTTGGCTTAACAGAATTATCCAATTGATGTAAAATGGGATAACATTTTAATTCTCCTGATTCATTCCATGACCATCTTGATACTTCTCGATTAGGGTTATGATAAAAAATCAATGTTTGCGAATTTTGACCGGATGCATATGCCAGATGAAATGCAAAGCGAGAATAATCTGGAATCTTTTTAAAAAATCCATTTTTATGCAATATAATACTATATCCATTGTTTTTGCTTAATCTTCCATTAGTAATATTAGGCCTGTTAATGATAATAATTTCGCCTTTACCATCGCAGGTACCATAACAAGCAATCAGTTTATTCTTTTAGGTAATTCAAGACGATCGGACTCAGATATTTCAGACAGATTCATGAAAGTATTTAATTCATTGAATGTAATTTGAATTGGAGCGAAACGATTGATCGTAAAGTGTTGCAGGTGATGATGTTCAGCGTCAAACTGAGGAGTGTAATGTAATGGATGAATATCAAAATGGATATCGAATTGATTTTCTGATTGAGCTTCTAATATAATTAATTTTATACATCGCTCTTGCAAATCGCGCACTTCATTTTTTTTGTCATTTTTCTTCAGTCGAGATATAAATTCGGAACGATGTTCATCAGTAATATTAAATTTCGATGTTTTATTTTTTAAATGGTTTTCTAACGTGCTGATAAGGCACTCAGTACAATTTTCAGCAGTTGTTTTTGATTGTCTGGGGTCAATTAGCCAGCCTTTTGTGGTTTCATATAACTGTTTCCTAAAATCTTTTTCAGTGTCATGTCTGAAAGAACCCAATATTTTCGCCATGCCAATTAATTCATGGATGGAGGATTTTACTTCTTGTTCAATATGAGCTATTTGATTATTATATAATTGTACAGAATCTGTAATCACTCTTTCTATTTTTTCTTTTTGTTTACTTGATAAAAATATTCGAGTTTTATCACATAACTCAAGGATCATACGTAAGTTAGCTTTACCAATGTCAAAATATTTTTGTAGAAGTTCACTTAATTCATTAAATTTATTATTTTCTGCGTTCAAATTCGCATCTTGAGAAATTTTTCGGACACAATACGTTATTGGATTATTATTTGTAATTAAAACATTTTGACACTGTTCATCTAATACTGATTTGAAAATATTTTTATCGTGAAGTTTTATATTTTTCGGTTCTTGAATGTCAACTAATTCCTTTTTCACTAATTTGTATGTTCGAGATCCGTATGGTTTACCGTGAAATGAATGTTCCGTTGAAAAATTCGTAAAAAATGATTCCGATGGACAAATAATAACGTTTTGACATATATCTTGTAAAAATCTTTGCATAACAACAGTAAAATAGTTTCCTTTTTCCAAAGCCGTATCTTGATTACAAAGTAGTAAAAAAACAAACATTTTTCTGTTGAAAATTGTCCACATAGCTGGCATTTGATCACAATTGGTAAACAATGATTCTATTTCATTCAGACCATCGGGAAATAATGAATAGAGAAACTTTGTAACATCCATATTATCACCAAATATACCAAATATTTTTGCTTTTTCAAGATCTAATTGACGAAGAGGTTCGATTATATTTTGCATGTTTTGGAAGTCGACTGCCATTCTATATTCACCACCATTTGAAAATTTATCATCTTCCACATAAAATAATCGATGAATTTCTGTAGATTCTGAGTTTACTTTCGCTTCATCCGCCATATTCATATTAGCTGTTGGTGCTGCTGCCACTTAAAAAACAGTAAAACTTAATTTGAAAGAAAAAGAATTTGCTCATCATTGCTATTGCTACTAATAAACAAAACATAGCTTGCTTATGAAGTCGAGTTTTGTATGAATACTGAGTACGATTTATTCTAGTAATTATCAAATCGACATTCCATGCGATAGAATTTATATTTCGATTTCATGCGATACAATCCTATGTTTCCTACATTTAATTTGATTCAGTTACACAAGAAAATCTTAGCAAGCGAGAAAATACCTAAGCGCTTTCTGTGGGAAAGAACTCAAGCCATCTAATGACGCTCATATTAATACTTCGATTGATTGTTACTACACCTAGAACACATCGAAAAGGTCACAACTACTTGATTAATACTCATGCGAAATAATTAATCGATCATTTGATTTTTAGAAAATTGCAGTGATATATTGCATTGAAAAGATTGAGACATATTTTCAATTTTCTCTACAAGAACGTTTTACTTTAATTTCAAAGCCTCAGATTTTAATTCAGAGTGGAATAGTGTGTTATACAAGAGCTGCTTTATTTAACATGATCTGTAATGAAATTATTCCAAGTGTGACCGAGCTACTTTGATTAAGAAAATCGATTGCATGAACTTCTTTAAAACTATTTCCTGGTCATCAATTACCATGCCTCATGATATTTTCACTTCCTTGTTACTGCTACTCTTAGCTGTCGTATTTTATCTTATCATTACATATTATAATGTTGAGAACTAAGTATTCTTACTTTCTTATCGATATTCACATGTGCGACTGTTATTTTGTTTGTTTGCCAACAGTTTCACTTTCTATTTATCGTTGCAAAACTACCATCTTTTTGCCACGTATATACGTTTATCATCATCTATGAAGCATATGATTTTTATCAACTTGGAAGTTTTTCATGAGCGAGATAGTTATGACGCTGGTTTTTCGCTTTCCTGCCAAACCGATTCGTAATTTTGAGTTAAAATTTACAAGATAGCTACAACAGAGTCACATGACGTCTGTCTCTCGAAGTTTCTTGTTGATAATGTTATGAAAATGGGACGATAGTTGTTTGATCTCAAATGTGAAACACACTAGCGCTGCATTGCTTTATATCGCATTTTCACGATAATAACACGTTCTATCTACCACTGAATAGCCTATTTCCTGAGAAAACCTGGTTGAAGAAATTTCTTTTTGTACTTGAGTAGCCACGAATGATAATTTTTATTTTCTTAATGAAATACAGATTATAACATTATTTATATACTTCAAATTAAAACAAGAATTATATGAAGATGAAGAAATTTTTTTACCCTGAGCTACAACACAGTACATAATTGATTAAAAAAATGAAATCTATTAATTTAAAGTTTATAACATGAAAAACGTTCGTCAAATGACCTTATCGCAATAACTCAAACGAAGTCGAAATCAGTTCATAGTGATACTATTTCTTAAAGATAATCATTATTTGAAACAGAACGTACTTGAAATTCGCTAACGTTTTTACAAGTGAAGAAAATTCGTATTGCCTTCGCAAACATGCATAATTGACTCTGAATCACTTATTGAAACAATATCATCGCCCTGTATTCTCCATTAATTTTCAGGCGAAAGTCTCTGCTTGACTGGTTACCCTAAATCAAATTCACACCATTCCTCTAATACCTAGATTTCGATTATATTAGTTATCTTTTGTTTTTTTTTGAGGGATTAGCCGACCCGCCTTACAGTTCGACAGATGTCACTGTCATTGGACAAGACACCGGCACACAAAATAATAAGTTCCATTTTTTTCTCGTATAGTTAACCAATCAAAAATTTCTCGTCTCGCCAAAAAGCTACATGTTCTTGCAAAACTCTATTCTTTTTTGCCTTCATTTATGATTCTATTTGACTCGTATTGTTTTTGTTGATAGTTTTGTAGTCAATAAATAAAAATGGCAACGATCCAACGCCGATTATTAAAAGTAAGTTTGAATTTAAAACCAAAGAGATCGATTGACGTAGAGAATTTTTGTTTACTTCATAGGAATTTAATACAGCCAAGGAAAATTCAGAGCAAATCAATAAATTAGAACCAAAAGGAAACGAAAGTTAGTTTTAAAATTATTACTCATTCATTTCTAATTATATATGTATTTAGTTTTGCAACTGGAAGCTAAAATCGTTGGACCAGTAAGTACAACAAATAGTAATGACATAAGATTATGCAGTAATATCAATGAATAAGATTTTAATGATAAAAAAATCTTCTCATCGACATCAGACAGAAATTTATTTATTTAATTTTTATAGAACAATTCACCATACGCTGATCATATTTTTACACTTGATATTAATTTACCGACAGACTTTCCATTTAAACCACCGAAGGTTATTTGATCAAGTGAAATTTTATAAAAAGGAAACAAAAAGAATTTTTTTTGTCTAGGTTAAATTCGTAACCCCAGTATATCATCCAGCAATTAAAGATGATGGAAGCATTTGTAAGTTACGATGATAGTAATAGAATCTATCTATCTTATTCATCATTTAGGTCTAGATGTTCTCGGTGAAAAGTGGACACCGAATCTATCCATAGTCACAAGTAGAATAAAGATTTTTATTTGAAAAACATTTTTCAATATTTTGTTTTTTCGTTTTCAAAGTTCTACTTCAAATAATCGAATTATTGGCTGATCCAAGTACTGAAAGTCCTCTCGTATCTACTATAGCTCAACAAATTCTTAAAAATCCAAAAGAATTCTATGATACAGCTCGTAAACATACAATGGCTTATGCTCAACCAAAATCGATTTAATAGATCTTTCTTTGACTGATCATTTTGTTTTTTGTCTATATATTTTTCTGTGATTTTGTTCAATCTAACTGTTTTCTATCGATGAGAATCAACCACAACAAGACGATTTAACACGCCGATCCGAATATTGTTTTCAATCAGCAAAGCAACACCAATGACAAAAAACCTAACCCTATAGATATTTAATTCATTGTTGTCACCTATGTGATATGATGCTCTTAAATTTCAAATCATCTATTTCTTTATATTACCTCATTTAACTGTATAATCTCTCATTCAAAGCAAACAGCACAACTCTCACAGCACATAAACTGTTCATTAATGAATCAATTTAAAAAAAGAAATCTGTAATAAACATCCGAGTGATATACTCTCTTTTGTATAAGGCACGTCAACAATCTGTAGTTGATTCAAAGAAAAATATAAACTTAATAATTTTTAAATTTTAATCTATGCTGGAAATATGATTTGAAGAGACTTTAAAAAAAGAAATTTTGCATAGTGAACTGGACATAGATATTTGGTAAAGATTATTATTGTGTTGACATTTTCTTTCGATGAGATGTACACAATCTTAACGATAATCCATTGAAATCATTGTACTCTTTCAATCTATCAAAAACGTTTTGCCACGAATGAATCTTCGAGAAATTTATTTCTCTCGTTGATGACCAACTTTCAAAGCGTTACACTAGATTTGACTCTTTTGCATAATCTCTTTTTTTGATTAGTCACAGATTCAGAGGTCGATATAGTTTTCAAAATAAAATTTCGTTGCAATATTTGTTCTTTAAGGTTGTTTTCGAGCTGTCTATTTGCGTTACTAACGTAAGTAAACCTTCTAAATTTTATGGATAAAGACCGGTATTCTATGCTAATTTTCCTATTGGTTGACGAATCTCAATTTTGATTGGTCATTACGTCAACTTCTCATCTGGCTGTTTTCTTTCAAAAGAAAAAAAAACAACATTGAAACGAATATGTGACTGATCTATTTGGATTTTAGATAATAAATCAATTCTATGTCATTGGCAGCTCGTATACCTCACACCTTAAAACAAGTTCGACCTGTTCTTTCAACAGATCATGCTGAAGCCAAAAGACGTGTGCTAAATCTGTACAAGATTTGGCTTCGACAAATACCCTACATTCGTGTTGATTATATTAAAAACAATTGGACAGAACCACGTTTACGCGATATTATCAAGGTAAAATTTACCGAAAAGAATATTCAATTGATTATGCGTTTCATTTTCCAGGAAAACTTCATGCGTAATAAAGATGTAACAGACGTACGTGCTATTGATTTACTTGTTGTACGTGGTCAAATGGATTTTGTTGAAACAGCTGAAATCTGGCGACAACAACATAATGTTGCTGTTTTTGATAGCACGAAAAATACATATAAGAAAAAACCAGCCAGTTTTCTCGAACGTTTTTACGAAGGATATTAATTTTTTGAATATATAAAATCCTTTTCCTCGTTTTCTTTTTTCTCTTGTATTTTCCTCGCCTGTATTTAGAAATATGATTAGTTTCTTCTTTTCAGAATTTTAGATGCCATCATTTGAAGAAACATTGACATGTCCAATATGTATGGATCTATTCGATGATCCTCGTTTACTACCATGCTCACATACGTTTTGTTGCAAATGTGTTCATTCCATCGCCCATAATCGTTCGTTTGTAACATGTCCTCTTTGCCGATATCGTTTTGTTGTTGGACAAATTTTACCTGTAAATCGTATAGTACTATCACTCGTGGAACAATTTCGACAAGAACAACTCGAGGAAAATCGTTCGATGAATATCAATGCGAAATGTTACGATTGTAAATCGTATCAAAAACTCGAACTCTGCTGTCATTGCGATATACTTCTATGCAATAAATGTCATAATCGACATGGAATGGATTGGAAAGCTCGTGATTATAGAACAAATAATTTGCTTTTATCTAAAGGTAAATTTTATTCTTAGTTAAATATCGTGAGATTTTTGTCGTTCCGAAAAATGAAATAGAGAATATTTTCTCATTCTGCTCTTTTTTTGTTGTTGAATAGTTACTTGGTTGAAGTTTCAAGTAAATTTTAAACTACGCCATGAGAAAACTTCGATACTCAACGAAAGATTACATGATATTGAATATAAATTAAGAAACTATCGCCATCCTTGTAATCGTCAACAATATCATGAAACTAAACGTCAAATAGAAACAATTACCAATGATTTACGTCATATCGATATGCAATTAAAGGAAAAAGTCGTTCAAAATATCAATATTCAATCACCAATTTGTATTACGCCTCTGTCGGCATCTAGTAGTGGCTATGGTTCTGATATGAATTAAGTTTAAGTGATAAATATATATTTATGTTTTTTGTTTGTTTGCTAGTCATCTGCATACTTTTACTTGTCAGATATTATTATTTTTTTGTTTATTACTCTCAGTTGTGAAGAAAAACAGTTGTGTCTTATTTTTATTATTATTGAACAAGAAAAACAGAAATTTAAATAGGTTCAAGTTTTCGTGGTCGCGGCGTGTAGAGCTAGCACAAAAAGAAAAATTGATAATCAACAAAACTATTATCGCCTTACTGGTCGGTCAATATCATTAATTTTCGACATAAGTTCAGCTTTTTCTCGTCCCCATGCAGAAGCATTTTCTTGAAACTGGAAATAAAATGAAATCATGTTTACTCACGATGTAGTTTTAAATTCGAATATCTTACTCGTGCTTTGAGATTTGCTAATTCTTGTTGATAACTAAGATTTTGTTTTACTAGATCTTCTCGTTGATTCATCACCGATGCAGAGTATCGTGCGGGTGGTATTCGTCTCTATAATCAAAGAATTGAATTGTTTTTTTTTTGTTGGAACGAAAATTAAAATATACTTGAATTTGTTGATTTTCTAATCCTAAGGCAGCATGTTCAGATAGAAATGTTCGATCGGAATCACTGAATGCTCCTAAATAAACAGACGAGCATTTCGAGAGAAAAAGAAAATAAACTAATTTGACCTCTCAATCGCTTTTCTTTCATATAATTCGTAATCATGCCTTCCAATTTTTCAATGACAAGTTCTTGCCGTCGAACGGTTTCTTCCAGTCCATCGGCCTTTGCTAAACGTTCTTTCATCATTTTTATTTCTACTTCCCGTGTTTGTGTTGTTCGAACTAATGCATCATATTGAGCACGTAATTCGCCTCTCTAATAAGAAAACAAATACAGATTTGTGTTTTTGTTTTGAACTCTACACATACTCGAGCGAGTTCTTTTTCGAAATTAGTTATTTTAGCATGATTTTCTTTTAATTCAAGTGTTTGAGCAGATATCTTTGCAGATAAACGATCTGAACGAAATTTTTAACGATTCATAAAATCGGCACGAAAAACAAAAATCATTTTCTTACTAAATATATCTTGCATTTTTGCTTTATCAATTTTATCACCTTCGAAAATTTCATATAGAACTCTTTTTTTCTTGTCAAAATTTTCCATTTTAACTTTAAGATCATGATTAGCAGCGGTTAGAGTTTTATGTTGATCACGTAATTGTACAACATCTTGTATGACACGTCGAATAGCTTGTTTATAAACAGAAACTTCACGTTGAAAATATTCGAACCAACCATCAATATCGTCATCGCGACGCGGAGGATAATTTGTTGCCAACATAGCGCGATACTCCGTTGGAATGTCATCCAAATCGTATGGATTGATACGTGGAACACGAAAACGAATACCCTAATTTAATTTATTCAGATGAAAATCAAAAATATAATAATCAGAAAGAAATGAAAATTATTTACATCTGGTCTTTCTACTTGAGTAAATGTTGGTACAACCTTTTGTAAAATCGAAGAGAATGTTTACCTTAATAGAAAATAAATATTCATACTTCGTATTGTTGTGGATAATAGTATTGAGATGGGATCATTGTCGGTTGGCCCATCTAAAAATTAGACAAACATAAATTAAATTAATTTCAATCACAATGTAAAACACGTACGATGGGATAATTTGCAAACGAAGGTTTAGTAGGATAGGATGATTTAGGAATTATCAACCATCGTCTTTGGTGCATAGGGTTATAAGACATTGATATATGTTTCATGGCAACTAACACAGCATGCCATCCGACAAGCGAAGAATTATTTTTGATGAAAGAAAAATCATTTCGTTTTTGTGTGTGAGACAAGAACTTTTAACTACTTTTTTTTCTTCTACCATTTAATCAAAGAAAAAGAACTACATTCACGATTCCCGTATGATTTAAAATGTATTAGTCAGAGAATTTCTCGATTTGTTTTTAGGTATCTACCATATTATGGACAATTACTGAGTTATGAGGTAAACAGACGTACCATGCCAAAATTGAAAATCTATTATACAACAAAAACTCGTCTCTATCGTAGGTATTCGTAAGGCAAAATAATGAATCTGTTCTCTTACCGGTACATTTGGATTTATAACAGTTTGAGCTTGAGGCACTTGTGATATTGGTGTTTGTGTTAATGGAACTTGTGGTGCGGGTGATTGTATTGTAGGTAGAAACACTTTTTTCTGTGATACAACTTGCATATATAAAGGTTGTGCACCGCCTTGTCGAACGCCTTCGACATAATAAGAAGGTAAAACAGGTAAATTACTAGCAGTATATGCAAGAAGATTTTTCACTGGATGACGTTCTGGCACAAGACGCAGTAATACTTCAGCTGTTAAAAATTTCGTATTTTCTGAAACTAATCCACCATCACTTTCAACCAAGAGACCTGTTTAAATCAACAAACTAAATTGAATACACCAAAAGTAATTTACCTTCTGTTCTCACTCCTTCCGATGAACCCGGTGCTGTTAATGCATCATACGCTCGTGTATCTAAACGAATAGCTACCCATCCGATTAGACTTTTAATACGCCAATTAGGATTATTAGAAATAGCTTGAAATGGATAGAATTCAATAAGAAGAGCAGAATTATTCGAAAACATATTGTCTTTCTCATTTTCATGTGAAAATAAATAATCATGCAGCCAAGTTGGCATCTTAGACTAAAATCATTCGTAGACAAAATTTAAGTCTATATGAATTATCATTTTAAAATCATATACTTCTTTGGATGCTAAAGATGTTTGCGGATAGCCAGTAAAGGAATAATTCGGTAAGGCAAAATCTTGAGCTGTTGGGATAAGTATTTTTTTAAAATTGACACCCAATTTTGGATTATCAAGATTACGCAAATACTCATGTCTAAAAGTAGACAGATCAATGATTTGATTAGTTTATTCATTAACTCACCTATAAGAAAAAAAGACACCTACTTGTAACTTTCGTAGTCAGGTATAATTCGAGCAACGGCATATAGAACTAGTTTTTTCGGTACTGTTACTTCAAATCGATTGAGCATAATTTCCAAACCAAAATAACGAATATCTTCTTTTGATAGCGAACTCTGTTTACGCGTTATGGATATGAACAGAGAAGTTGTTTGAGTTGTTTGTTTTACAGTATGTTGTAAATTTAAATGATACTGATAAAATGGTTCTAGCCATCGCCATGGAAAACGATGTTCAGCTATTGTTCGTTGGCGTGGTTCATCAATAATCAATATGATCACCTCTATTTATATATGTATATATATATATATATATATATGATAATCTTATTGGGAGAAGAAAAAGGAAAGGTTTTTCTTCATCAATTTACCTTCATCATGATTATTCTCTTCGGGTATATCAGCATAGATCATTTCATTCCAATGAGGTGTTACACCTTCGATTACATTTGTTGCATTAATTGTCTCTCCAATATCTTGTGTCGCCATACTCGAACGACTTTGTCTAAACATAGAAAAAGATGGCGTAAAAAAAATAAAAAAATAAAAAAACGCTACACTGTAACATAACATCGTGGCTGACGACCGTCAACTAAAGGTAGATTGGCAGCACCATGCACTAGTACATGCAGGAGATCTCTTCCTCGTACGGCAACATGTGGAAATAATGCACCATATTTTGCTGCTGTCATTAGAGGTGGTAAATCGTACTAGATAATTAAACGAATATATTGATTTGAATTTTAAAAGATTATGTACGTTACGTCTCACTTCACGACCGATCGACAGTTACTATCGATCAGTAAAGTAAATAGAGTCATTACTTTTTTTCTTTCTTACAAACATCATATCGATTTTTTCTCTTCGAAGTTTTGTCCTTCTTCACATTTACTTTTTCTTTGGCATAGATTTTTTTCTCTTCTTTATATTTATGTTTGCTTTTACATTGAAGAACATTTTAATTTTTAATCTAAATAAGAGACTTACGTCAGTTCGTGGTGGTATCCTAACTGGTTGTACTAAATAAAAGAAATTTTCACCGAGTATCAATAGGATTTTTCAGACTTACCTGGTATTGGCATATTCGGAAAAACATTATTTCCCGTAGTGGTAGGGGCAACATTCAAGTTTATCTGATCGATATCATTCGTAGGTGCTGTTGTCAGCCACGTCGGATTGTTTGGAGTTACTCCTTGTACTGCCATTGTATTGCATTCGAAATGAATTATGTTATAATTCAATAAAAAGAAAAAGTCATAGAGAAAGATAAGCTTATTGGCTTCCTTTTGTATAGTTTCTTTCATGCAAACTAAGGAGTATCGATAACAAAATAGAAAGAAAAAAAAAGAAAAATTGGCAGCAAGTCAACATATCTATTAATTATTAACTGTTACTTGGCAAAATTTTCTTCAATCTGCATAGAGAATTATCGATTATTTTCAAATATTTGAAAAATCCACTTCAATAAGACTAAGATGATCGTTAATTTATTTCAGTCGAAAAAAGTCTACTTCAACAAAAAAAACAGAACTGGATTTCACAAAGTTGAATAACTTCTTATTAGTTCGTAATTTTGATCTGTGAAAACTTTCAGATTATTTCCTTTCAATAAACTTCCGACTGAACATCTATTTAAATACATTGAAATCGTCGTGAGAAATCGATCGCAAATAAATTGAACAGTAGCTCTGTATTCACAGAGGAACGGAAGTTGGTCCGTTCTCGCTCTTGACTGTATGTGCACGTGAGTAGAAAAAAAATCAGCGCACACACCGTCAAGATATTTTATTATAAAAAAATTCTCTTCTTAATTTCAAATCTCATGCTTGTTAAATTTTGCTTCGTATGATCGCGGTGGTAGACTCCGTATAACACTATTACAGAAATGAGGGTGTGAGTGTAGGTGTGGATTTTCGAAGTTACATCGACGCCCAGGTTAAACGTTTGATGATCGCATGGCTTCGATTTCTAAGTGAAAGTCCAGTTTGCTGAAGGCATCCTCAGATGATTGACGAAACTGGTAGAAAATCAAAGTTCTTTGTTGCTCAATTCTGATTCTCAATCTTCAACATCTTTTAAAGAATAAACACCTGCTGGATGAGCTGATGAAACGTTTGTTAGTGAAGAACAATGAGATGTTATGAATGCCGATATCAGTGCTAATCGAAGAGAAAACAAGGCAAGAATAAAGTTAAGTTTGAAAATTTTCCACAGTTCAGACTGTGTATTTTTTGTCTTGAACTATACCATCATCTTATTAATAACACCGGCAGGATTGATCCCCTGGACTAGGGGTATGACAGTTCAGTTTTAGTTCATGTCAAAAGAGCTGTTCGGGCAGTTCTTAGATCTGAGAACTGCTACACCCCTACCCTGGTGGACACCAACTACTTCTGTCAACACTGCCGCTTCGACATTCACCACCTTCTTCTACTATTTTTCTCTACATAAAGATCGTTGCAGTTGTCGACACCATAGAATATAGTTAAATACTTTTTCCATGTTGCAATGCTAAAATCATCATCACAACTCCAGACACTGTGTTACTTGATCCAAGCACACATTCCTCCATCTTCATCTTGTCCATTGACTTCTACTGTAACAGTAGCAAGGACAGAAACCAGTGCAATAATAAACACTTTATTAATATCGCGTTTACCTACAAAAACCTTCTGAGTGTTTATCAATTAATGAGATGACTAAAGTCTGCAATAAATCACAAAAGAGAAGGTATGATATCGCATTTACTTTATATATAAATTGATCAATAGAACATGACTACAAAATACTTCACTAAATCTCGCATTAAATTACATAAAAAATAAAGGATTAATAATAATTACAAAGGTAATGAATCTTGTATCGATCATAGATGTCGTGCAAGACGCATACTAATTGAATTTTGACGAATGAGAAGAAGACAACATGCAAAGTAGGAAGTATGTTTAACAGTCGAGAAAATCTTCAGATTCCTAGCGAAATACGACTTGTTTCAGCTATTGCTTGAATATAGCCATCATCAAATATCTTCAGAATCAAAGAGTGGCGAAGAGGCAGATATGGGTGAGTGTTCCCTTCACCTACAGCTCCAATGTGAAAGAGATCACATGGAATGTTACTTGTATGACACAACGGCAGTTGAATATAGATTTTCTATATATTCACATTCACAATGATAGACAAGACTCGCATACGCTTTCATTCACAAAAGCACTGTTTACCAGTTCGTACGAAGAAACTGCTCTAATCCCATCTGAAGGATTATGCATATAGCTATCAATAAAAAAGAAAAAGTATATGTACAATGCGATGATTGCAAAAACATATCAACTCTAAGAAAGATACATAAGAATTTCGTGTGTATATTTTCTATCGTCGCTTAACAGGGAGATGAAGTATAAACATATTCCATGTCAACCAAAGCGTCAGAATTGTCATCGTATGATGCCTCGATTGTGGTTGACTATTGTTTTTCTTTCCTATAGAATCATTTTCTTCTGCTATATGTATAGTCTTATTACAAGAGCGACCATTTGGAAGAACATCAACCGTAAACGTCAGAAATCTTGCGTGAATGGAAATCTTTATGCATTCATAGTTCGAATCATATCTAATGATAGAAACATTGTGGGGGAAAAAACAATTAAAAAAATATGTTTTTCTTATTGTTAAATGGTCCATACATGAAAACTATCAAGCAATATCTTAATGTATTATTGGAAGGAGTACTCGTTGCGCTAGAAAAATGAATATTTATTGTATCTTCTCTTTTTAATTCTGATATAAAAATTTTAACTGAAATAGTAAATGACGTTGCCTGATGGTGAAATTGCAAAGAATTGTTCTAGATTTTCAAGAATGATGAACTTGTTATCTAGTTACGAATAACAAATATTCGTTTTGAATGCAACTGTTTGCCACTGAATGACGCAGGTTTTTCTAAAATTTATTTCATATATCTACTGAATAACTAGAGTATCATCTGGTGTTGCATTGATATAGAGAATCTACTAAAAATCTAATGTGCAATATTAGAATGACCTATTGCTAATTATTTCTTCGTATTCCAATAGTTTATGAAAAGTAGAAAGCCAATCCGAAAACCGGTTAATCAGCATCAGCTGTTGATGTTAATGTTTCGTCAACGGAGATATTTGGTTCTGGTGGCTGATAAGGTCCTGTTTCACCAGGTGGTCTCATAATAAACCCGCCTGTGAGAAAAGAAATTTTGGCAAATTCATTGTTCGGTAGAGCGATCTAAAACATTCGTATGCGACAAGTGACTAATACAGAATCGAATAGTAAATTGTACCTTGAAATTATGGATCGTGCCACAGGCTTCTAGATTACGAACGAGCACTGGTTTCAGTTCAAAATTGGCTGGAATCGATGGAAATGTTTTTCGAACTTCTCTATCAATAGATTTTTGATGCTAAAAAATCAACGCATTGATAGAAAATGTACATCAAATAAATGAATGCACTAAATTACCTTGTTGAATAATGCAAAGTCTTCATCTGCTAACGGCTTATAAAGAAATCTAGAGTCGTCCATTTTGATTTTTACTTCAATCGAATAGGCCAAGTAAATGAATGAATAAATACTCGTCTTTATATATAGGCACAAAGCAATTCCCTTCTCTCTCTCTTTTTTTTTTCTACGCACTCATGTCGTCGCTTCTACCCATGTGCTCTCATGCAAACACACAATTATGCATTTGCAATTGCAATTGCTCCACCAATAGAGCCTCGGAGGAAACACTACACGCAATTATTTTGTCGGTAATATGCATAGGAAAAGAAAAACAAAATTGTTGTTGTTGCTCCGTTGTCAAAAGCATGCGCTTATTTTTAATGCAGCACAGCAAATCATTGAGGATGCGGTTGAAAGTTTTGCAATAAGTAATTAACAAAAAAATGAAGTGGTAAGAGTAGAGGAGAAAACGAATCAATAAATAAAAATAAATATCGAAATAAGCGACGTGTTTGATATGTTTTCTTCGGGTTGCACGATTTTCTCTGGTATCATTGAGTATATAACTCAATTTCTCATCGTGACGGTGTTTTTATCTATAGGCTAGATCACAGTATTATAGCAAAATTATACAACAGCAAATGATTTTAGAAAAACCATCTTTCACCGTTGTTATTATAGTTGATGATTGTATTTATTGATTTAGAACAGAAAAATAAAATGAAAGGAGGGTTTCTTATATTATTAATTGCTGCGTTAATCGATGCGCAATTAAAATGCATGCTTTTCTTTTCTTTCTTATTTCATGGTGTACCGAACGCGGTATCTCGAAATGCATCATGTTATTCGTCGAAAAATATTTTTGAATCGTTCTGATCAGTCAATATTTCACAAAATCTTTTTAAATGTTTCTATATGAAATTCGGCGGATATTTATTTAACAGAAAATTAGTCTAGCTTTTTTTTCTGCAGTCTCTCTATGTGAATTAAAATGTAACATACACGGTAGTGAAGCTGATTTTTCAACCGATCTTACTTTTAAAATTCGATGTTTTTACTTGCACGTTTAGATCTAGATAATCTACGTAGCTACATGAGAGGGTGTAGTTGCAGTTAACTTCATTCTCAAATACTGATCAAATTCTCAGCATGTAAAACTTTGTTTGTTCTTTTAATTATGATGGTTAATATTTTACTTGTTATAATAAGCATATGGAGCAAACTGTCTAAAGAAAAGTTCTTATCGAAAAAGTGATGAATGACGTCTTATTGCTATTAATATGGACTGAATCGCAGCTGATGTAACGGGCAAACTCGCTGCCTCAACAGGATATCGGCATAAAGGACACATATTTCCTGCTCTTAATGCATCTAACATACATTGGTAATGAAATGTATGCTTAGCTTCGCACGGCCATTGAACGAAGCATTGATTTATTCGTAAATCTTCGAGACAAATGCTGCACATTTTTTCTGGCAGATCATTACTAACTATTTTCCAGCCAGCTAAGCGAAACCGCGCAATGAAATTAGCCGATGCTGGCGTTGAGTGCGATAACATTCGAGTGAATCTGTTTCGGTATTGGTACTGTTGATATTGAGTTTCTTCTTCAATCACACGTTTCAACTGACGTTGCCTTTTTTCTTCCTCGAAATATACTTCCTTAATTTGTTCCCAACTAAAAAAGAATTTATTCTCTTCACAACTCAAGAAAAAACCTAAGCATACTTATCTCGATATTGATCGCTAATGGCTATCAATCGTTTATGTAACCACTGTGATGGATTGAAATTAATATTATGTATAGATGTAGAAAAATAAATACATTGGCTACAATTATTATTTTGGCATACGATACAATCTGACCTGACGTTACTAATTGTATCGATAGAAATAATAGCGAGTGGAGTACAGTTATAAAATTGCCGAAGAATTTTCTCAGAGGTTTCATTGAAATCTATCATTGACATGACGATATATTTGTCGTGCACGATAAACAGACAATCTTGATAATTATTCTCGTAAGTTGTGTTCAGTAAGAGTCTGTCTAAGTCCTCTAAAGAGAAAATATCTATTTTTCGTAGTTGTTCTTGAATAGAAGAATGCAGAATTGACAACGATGAATAGATGAAAGAAATCGCAGCAAGAAGAACACGCACAAGAAGATCCAAAACAACACATATCAATAGACCAACTAGAACATGAGACGTATACGTAGTGTAGGAAGACGAAACATCGAATATTCGCATATCGCTGCTAGATTTATAGTATTTGTCTCTTTTTTTCAGATTAGGATATGCTTTTTCGGGTCTATAGAAATATCCAATTAGAAGACCACATCTTTTTATTACTCTCTCGTTGAATATTGTTATATTTTGATCATAAATCTGTTCAATACTTTTTGTATGCATTGATTTTTCGAGCCACATTTTAAATACTGTTGAAGAAATGTTAAGTTGTTCGACAATGCATTGAAATGTATCAAAACTAAAAGATTGAAATTGATAAGGATGACGTTTTTGATAGTAGGATTGTTCATCTGCAGGAAATTTAATGTACAATGCTGCACCTTGTGTATCAATAGCTGGTTCTACCACACGATTGAGTGTATATAAAGATTTTCCATACAAATAATTGTCTTCAAACATTTGAACGGTATTTTCAATGCTTTCATCGATTGCATTTTTACCCAATTCTATTTGAACATACTCGGGTCCAAAGAGAAACAAACGAAATAAGAATGCTTTATAATCTAAAATTTTATAGGTAGCTGCTAAATGGCCTTGAAATTGATTTAGGTCCATTGAAAATGGGCCTTTCCATGCATTGTACACTCTATTAGGACACTGAAATGCCGACAATACATAGAAGGAAACAAAGAATTGTATGGCTAAAATTTGCGTGCGTTTAACGAGAGTGTTCCAAGCATCTCGACGACGTTGGTTATAAATACGTCGTACTAACGATGAACAAGACGATTCTCCTTCCATTCGTTTATTAGAATTGTGTGTGTGTGATTTACCTATAAAGCACAAAAAATAGAAGAAATAGAAGAATAAAGCACACTTATTTGATAAGGCAGACTGGTTTGCATCGGATATCTTCTCAATATTTGCACATAATAATAAAACTTATCATTACAGCAAGATGAATAATGCTGACTGTGCCGATATTAATAGCACGCTACGATGATTTTCCCTCTCTTTTGCATCTATTCTCTCTCTCTCTCGTACATATACTTGTGTTATGTGTGAAATTGTTACGTTCTAGGTACACGCAGTAGCGAATCAAGATCATTGCCGAGGTGGCCGAAAGCTACTCCATCCAGTTTGTAATTACACTGATGAGTGAAAAAGACTCTATTGACTCTCTTTTACTGTCAGTATTACGTATTCATCAATATAGTATCCATGTTTTCACAAAATAACAAAAAAACTATACTTACAATTTAAATGAAACCGAAGCATGCGAATGGTCTTTTTATGCGCTTACCTTCAACGAATTACCTTGGTTTCTTCCAACTTATTCTTGTTGTTTTTTTTTATCATGGCGTGTGCGTCCGCTGTTCGGTAAGAAGAGAGATGAGTATGTATATACACTCGTCAGAGCATGTGTTCTCCTCTTTGAGTGTATGATTCAAATGTTTTTTCCTCAATTGAAAACTTCTAGCTCTATGTTTATATATACACGCTTAAATGTGCTTGAATTAAAATAATCAAGTAAATGTGCTATGAGAGATATATGGAATATCAACGGTTAATCGCAATATTGAGAAAAGGTCATCGGTTTGTTTTTATTGAAAATTCGCAAGCAGTAGTTTCTCGTTGATTAGTTGTAAAGGAAGATTAATGTTCTTCTCTACAAGTGTACTGTTCATACTGAAATTCTGATCTTTTTTAGCTTATGTTTACCTGCCTTATATATATATATAGTATATCTGAAAACACTCTTTTCCTTTTCATGAGTAACTGCATACTTAAAAGATAGTCATCTATAAATCAGTTAAAACAAGAGGTAGCTTTTACTCTATGCTAATTATTAGATTTTATTTTAATTTCTTTTACATTTTAGTACTGAATGACAGCAAGCAACAGTGAATCTAAGTTTCTTTTTTTATTGCTTGGTGTCGTATTTGACCTTATATTATTGTATTCTAAGTGTTATTACAGCATGAAACCAATCCGAAGCGATTATACCCTTTTATAATCATGTTTTTTTAGTTTTTAAATCAGCTGGTACACTAGTGGCGTAACCTGGGGTGAACTAGATGGGGCTTAGCCCCACCACCGGGACTTCAAGCCCCAACACCTGGGTTTTAAGACCGAACCACGGTGACTTTGAAGTAACGTAGATTTTCAATAAAAATAGACGAAATTCAATTAGGATACTTTTCATTAATCTTTAGCTATTGAGAAGGGATGCCTAATTATGTTGAAATAAGCAATTCTTTTTTTCTCTTAATAACATTTTGATCGTAGGTCTGAACCAGTTGATGACTCATCAAGATTTTCAGGGTATAAACATAGATTTTTAAATTGATTTTGATGCCATGCTTGAGAGTTCATTGATGTGAATCTCCACACACAAATGGGTCAGTGTCCCGAAAATGGTAGCTACAGTATGTTGGGTTCAAGACTTTTTGACCCGGATCCTGTCGAACGGTAGTTTTTTACTGTTAGTAAAATATTCTAATCATAATAAGAGAGTCAATTCGACGATAAAAAACGCTTTTTTGCCCAGTTTCGTCCTTAGTGATGAGCGCACGAACATGTTTTCAGGTCCACCGTCCCTGCTAGAGCCTACCAAACAACCCAAGATTTTGAACCTCGGAATCTGATTCCGACCCGGTAAAAAAATTATTTTACGATTCGACGGGCTCGAATGGTAAGGCAGTATGGGGGCTGAGCCCCAGCATCCTAAAATGTCTGGTTACGCCGCTAAGGTACACTATAAATAATGGCACCATTGGTATTTTTCCTCTCTCTGTCAGATTCTTGTACAAATGGCATTATTTCAAAACTATTATAACTATCATCTTCCATCGCTTCTTCTTTATTCAGTTATTTAAATAAAGCAAGTCAACAAGAAGTTTTAATGTATATCAATGAAGATAATATCAAAAATATCATCAAATTCATCTACTGTGGTCCACTAATACAAACAAGGCAAACAGGAGATGACTTTACGCAGAGAGAAATTTTATAGTCACATCCATGCTTCTATCGGAATTTTTGATATATGAATAGACTACAAAAAAGTTCGACAACCAAGAAAATTTTCTATATATTTCTATATTATCTGTAATTCTTAAAAATGCTTGTATTTGTGTCGTGGGGTGTAATTGAGGGTGTGTTTCATGTTTAGCAACCATGACGCGTTTCACCTCTTGCAAAGGACTCTTTCTATGGCTAGTAGGGGTGTCACATTTAAATTTTAAAAATTTAAATTAAATTGTTTGAAATTCAAATTAGTTAAAGTTTGAAAACTAGTACATAAATATAGTTTTTGNATGGCACCATTGGTATTTTTCCTCTCTCTGTCAGATTCTTGTACAAATGGCATTATTTCAAAACTATTATAACTATCATCTTCCATCGCTTCTTCTTTATTCAGTTATTTAAATAAAACAAGTCAACAAGAATTTTTAATGTATATCAATGAAGATAATATCAAAAATATCATCAAATTCATCGACTGTGGCCCACTAATACAAACAAGGCAAACAGGAGATGAATTTACGCAGAGAGAAATTTTATAGTCACATCCATGCTTCTATCGGAATTTTTGATATATGAATAGACTACAAAAAAGTTCGACAACCAAGAAAGTTTTCTATATATTTCTATATTATCTGTAATTCTTAAAAATGCTTGTATTTGTGTCGTGGGGTGTAATTGAGGGTGTGTTTCATGTTTAGCAACCATGACGCGTTTCACCTCTTGCAAAGGGCTCTTTCTATTGCTAGTAGGGGTGTCACATTTAAATTTTAAAAATTTAAATTAAATTGTTTGAAATTCAAATTAGTTAAAGTTTGAAAACTAGTACATAAATATAGTTTTTGACTCGATTGCTATTGTTTCAAGTCAGATTTAAGTATGTTTTTGTTTTCTAATAGTTAAAGCTAGCCATTCTTCTACGAATTGTACTATTAAATATATTTTTATGAGTATCCCGGTAATTTGAAGAAGAAAGATGACGGATCCTGCATAATCTGTAGAGAAATTTTGACTATTATGAACAAAGATTACCCTAAAATATTTGGTTCTCCTCTTATTTAGTATTTACTACTGTCAAAGTCACGTATTTTTCTCATAGCAATGATGCGTATCCATCCAAATAATTTATTAAATTCAAAATTTAAAAAGTGATTTTCAGTCCAAAGATTTAGCTTGAATTTAACTTGATAGAATCTAATTTAAAATTAAATTAGCTTTTCGTGAAGTTAAATTAAAATTAAATAAACTGTAAATTGACACCCCTACCTATATGGCTTCTCTTTCACAGGGCGTAGGTGTATGTTTAAGTGTGGTATTGGCTGAAGTATAAGTATAATTGAAGATGAAAAGGATAACAAGGCTTACATCCTCAGTGTAGTTATGATAAGCATACTGTATGTATTAGTCAGAATTGTCATTCTTGACGATGCTTTTCAATAACATCGTGAATTGCAAGATAAGATATCGTTACTTTTCTTCTTCGTCACTAACAAATGAAGTAACAATCTAGCATGTCATCATCCTCTTCATTTCTTGAATATGCACACATCACATTATCGAAACAATGTTGGTATATGGATCATCTCTTACCTGAACATTTGATTCGTATAACATGGTGCTTAATTTTAATGTGTATCTATGCTCTTATTGAACTTGATTATTTGCCAGGTAAACAATGGAAAATTCGTAGAGATCTACATACATCATCCAAAGAAATTGCGTACTATATTAAATCATCGTTTCTCAATATGCTCAAATGGCATATTAGCCCATTGATATTGTACGACATTTTATTGCATCGACCAAATTTGCATATATATGAAGCGCCAACTTGGTGGACTTTGTTATGGAAATCTGTAGGTTACACCATCATCTTTGATATATTAACGCATTTATTTCATCATCTCACGCATATTCATCCACGTATTGTTTCATTCTTTCATCGAGCGCATGCGAAACATCATGCTAGTTGTGGACGATATGTTTATCCTTGGAATGGCTTTTACTCGAGTTCATTTGAATCTTTTGCTGGACTTATCTTCTTCTTAGGAGCCATGATTCCGTTACAAATGGACCCTGTAACACGTTTGGTGTCGATTCTATATATTCATTTCGTGGCAACAAACATTCATTCAGGCTATGATTTTCCGTGGATGTTTCATAATTGGAGTCGCATAGGCCGTTTTGTATGGCACGGTTCAGTCGGTCATTATTACCATCATCAATTTGGCCGAAAAAATATGTCTACTTTCTGGACATTTCTTGATCGATTGTCTGGTACTTATTATGATTGTGTATCTCATCTTCCCACTCATCCCAATGAATTTATATATCAGCGACAGAAAATGATGCGTAAACTTAAATGAATCTTTATTAAATGAGATTTATCGAAGTTCACCGTTCTCATAACTAAAAAATATCACTTCGCTTACAAATAAAATATTTTTATACTTCACTATGTTAAATTATTATTAGACGAGTCTCTAGAAGGACATTTTATTGATAACAGGGCGTGAACGTAAGTGTGGCTACAGCTGTCATTCAATGAAAGTTCGACACCTACCCACACCTACATTTTCTTACAGATGAATGGCTGAACTATGAAGACATATTATAGCGCGTTATCAATCTCGCAAGAAGATATTGTATCTTTTTGTCTACTCAATTTTTGTTCAACGAACTGATCGAATATTGACAGTGTAGCCTTCTTAACTAATCGATAAAGATTCAATCGTCGGATCACCTTCAGAGATGAATCTGTAGTTTCAATAGAGAATTTTGATAAATATTCAAATAAATTTTTACTCAATTTTATTCGATTCTAATAAAATTATTTTTGAATGTAAAGAATTGATTAGATTTCTTGCTAGTAAACATTCTACAGTTACTATTAAAAATCATCGAATGCGTGGGTAGGAACATGGATATTACCCCTATACTTATGTAAACCCACACGCTTTTGAATCATAATAATATTTGTAAGTCTGTTCGATATAATTCATGGTTTGGTAGAGTTGAATTGATTTTCTCGCGTACCAAAAAGTATTACATTCTTCCAGATTGGGTTTTTTTAATAATTGATTGTTTCAAATTATATGGAAAACCGAGCAAAAACACATGAATTATTTATGAGTTTATTTCCAAAAGGACTCAAATGTTTGAGATTTTGATTATGATTTATAGCTGTGTTAACTAACATTTGCAGTCATTTATTGGTTATGCTATTGAGTCCTAATCTGAATACAGATAATGATTGATTTAATTGAAGCATGCCAGATAAATATTGAACACCTTTATCAGTAATATAATTGTCATAAAGATCAAGAGATTGAAGATGAGTATACATGGAAAGATGTGTAGTAAGAAACCTGATACCAACATCACGCAAAGAACATTTTGTGAGTTCTAAAGATTTCGATGTTGTGTTGTTGGGAGATGCTGAGACTATACATATCATATCTTGTGCTATGATATGCTCATCGAATAAATGAAGATTAATACATTCGCAATTCGCAATTTGAATCCTATCTCCAATTGTTTGATTTTGAATGATCTGTATTGGTTCACTCTCATGGGAAAGAGTTAAATCATCGTTCATGTTTTCTTCCCGGGAAATGAAGTTATGATTGTGAGTCAGTTCTAAAGTAGTTTTCACTATTTTCATGTTGATGTTGATCATTTAATACGAGATGTGTGCATATATCCAAAGGAATTTGAAACTGTTCACGTGGTCCACTCCATGAACAACCGTTAACATTAGCTTTACAGATGATGATCTTTTTTGTGCACATGTTATCAATGTGATCTTGAAAATTATCTCGTTGTATGTTTTATTGTTGACATGATTTACATTTTACAAGGATTCGATCGAGCATTGAAATAAAATTGAAAAGAGTGACCGCAGTAGAATTATTTGTTGTTATTCTATTGCGACAGCTCGGACTCATTTTTCCAAGCATAAACGACAAAATGAATGAATGATGACATTGAGTTACTACACGATCTATCATTGCTTCATTACATATTGAACACTTCAAAGTAATATCAATCAAATCTTCATTTTCATAATCCTAATCAATATTTTGAGACATAGCGTGTAATCCGAATTATTAAATGTAGTTGATTTTAAAAATCTATTTATTTGTTAAATAATATTCATGACTGAATTGATGAAAAAACTTGAACTCTTCTATATAACAAGGTAGATAAGACATTTTGTCTCTATGACACACAAATTAAATAAAGCTTGCTTCCTGTTAGGTAGTTTCTATTTTGGAGAATATTTTTGATTCATCACTACGTCAACTTAAAGGTGAATCGTGAGTAGGAAGAAAGAACAAAACGGATGATGGTGTCGCTCTTTGATTCAGTCACAGATATTCGCAGCCACCCTCACCCCAGAGCCATCAGACTGGCTCAAAAAACACAATTTGGTATAGAAGATTATGACCGTACTGGAATCAAGTTGCTCCAGAATTTTTTCTATCAGCAAATCAGATTTAAGCGCTAATGCTCTTGCTTATTCTAAAAATCAAACATAATTTTGTTCGAACTTGACTATAAGTGAAGTTTTAGTTTTTCTTAATCTCTGATCAACATATCGCTCATAAATTCTCAACATCATAGTTGTTACTTTTTTGTTTCTTATATGGTTAGCTGCGTATGTAATTTTTATTCTAAAAAAAGCCAATACCATTTCAATGCACTGTTCAAATCTCTGTGTCCTTTCTCATTTAATTTTGATAACCATATTTTTTTAACCATTTAAGTTCTTCTCGAACTTTGATTTTTCCATGCCACGGATTATTTCTTAATGAATGCCCTTCAGTTGGAAAAATTAGCAATTGAACCGGTACGCCAAGATAATGGAGCGCACGTTCCAACATAAAACTTTGGCCAGGAGGAACTCGAATGTCGACTTCTCCAGTAACGATAAGTGTTGGTGTACGAACTTTATCTAATTGATAAATAGGAGATTGTTTTGCATAAATATCTGATCTATCCCATGGAAATCCACCCATTAAATAATCGATAAGCGGAGGAAATTCCATAGTACCCCAAGCAGAAACATAATCAACTGCCCCGGAACCTGAAAGAGCAGCTTTGAAATTAGTAGTTTGCGTTATCAACCAGTTAGTAAGAAAACCACCGTAGCTGTAACCACCAACAGCTAGACGATTGCGATCAACAATACCATCCTGAATCAAACGACGAACGCCCGAAAGAATATCTTTTCCTGGCCGAGTTAAAGGTTCATAACGAATTTCATCGAGAAATTGATCACCATAGCCTGGTGATCCTCGATAGTTCGGTTCTAATACTAACCAACCTTCTGTGGCTGCTAACGGTCCCCACGTACCAGCTGAAGACTGAAACTGATTGATACTTGGTGCATATGGACCACCGTGAATAAGTACAAAAAGAGGTAAATTTGTCGATTCGAATTTGCGTGGTGGATAATGTAGAAGTCCCTCGATTGTGCAATCATCTTCATCGCTTGTCCATTTAAAAGTTTTTACTTGAGGCAAATTGCGTTCAGAAAAAAGTCTGTTTTCATTTGTTATTACTTTTGCAGATTTAAGTTGCTTAAGGCTATCAACAATATAAACTTCTTTTGCTTGCCCGTAAGATGAATAAACAAACGCAATCGTACTATTGTTGTGAGGAGATGATGATAATGAAATAGATTCATATGTTCCATCCAATCCGTGATGCAAAATTGTATATTTTTCTGAAGATTGTTGCGTGTAAATTTGAACATTGGTTCCTACTTGCCCAAGAATGTAGACACTACCATCGGGTCGCGTCGCGAATTCCATGATATTACCGTCAAAGTCTTTTGCTAAACGTTGAATCTGTCCATTTGTTAAATCCAGTGAATATAATCTTGTTTGAGTAATGACACTTGAAGTTTTACTTGATCCGAGACCGGACATAAGAAACATAACGTGGTTACCATCATGGGACATTTGTAGATTTAATTCGAACGCTTCATTTGTGGTTAATCTTGATAACGACAATGTGTTGTCAAGGTTAATAGAATATATTTCGTAATCATCCATAGTTGCAAACACAGCTTTGAACGATACGAAGATAAGTTTCTGCTCGGACGATGAGAATAAAAGTTCACTAATTATAAAAGGAACATTTTTGACAATATTCATCGTTGTAGATGCTAATGGTGTTTTTCTATCAATATGAATGTGATAGATCGTACTGCCATCACTTGGTTTCCATTGTCGATGTTGAATAACATCTTTCCATTCACCGTCATTTAAATGATCATGGTCATTACTTGGATTTGATTGGATTGCAGCAAAGTATAAAGAGGAATCGTTGTTGGCCCACGTTATACTCGATGGCATTTCTGATCCAATTGGAATAGGTATCAATCGTTGCGATTTGATGCAATATAGATAAATGTGATGCTCTGGTTTTGGTTGACTTTTGAATGAACGACTGAAATGCTTAGTTTCGTTTCTCATGTTCGTATTCGATTTTTCGTTCAATAATAAAACAATCTGATTTCCACTTGGTGACCATTTTGGTTTGAAACTTTCCGATAATTTATCAGTGATCAATATTTTCGTATACGTTTCTGTTTCATAAAGCCACAGATTATTTTCATAGGAATTCGAATCCCACAATGATCGTCTCGTGTGAACTAGTAAATTTCGACCATTTGGAGAAAGATTGATCGATGGAATCTGAACATAATCGAAAAATTCATCTAATGTTAACGTCGGTTTGGTTGGTATCGATGATGCACATAAAACAAATGGGAAAAATATTAGTAATCGTTGGATCATATTGATTATTAGTGATAATCTGAAAAATAAATTAACAGAATTTTAAATTATTTATTTAATATCATGTTACTGTATGTTTAATAGAAACGTCTACTCAAAAGCACACATGAATTACATTACTGTGAATTAGTTTTTACCATTAGACATATCGGGAATAGGTATGTATTGAATCCGAACATCCCGGGTTCATTCATTCGGATGGTGGAATTAGCAGAAGTCGGTAGCTTATTTGATTTTTGTTTGTTGTTTTTCATTGATATAATATTCAAATGATAGATTGATGCGATTAGTATCAAAGTCATAGACAGTTTGATTACCTGTACTTTTGTTCCAGAGATATCGAGCTTTACTGTATGTTTTATTGAATTGTCGTGCCCCTCCCCTCATATTCACTGAAATATGGGAATTTAATAACAAATGTATAATTTTATCGTTATTTTGATACTCATAATGGGTGATAAGAAAAAATTGATAACAGTCAAAAATCGATACGTACCTTTATTCTGTAACTTATTATTTTGTCATAATATTATAAACTACATATATAAATATTCATGTCCAGGACATTTCATAATCTTTTAATCTACATATGGCAAAAGCACCTGTAGATGATTATGACACCTTTTCAATAGATTAAAGAATAGCATATACATTCGTCGATGCAGTGAACTTTTTCTTGATTGTTATTTGATTATACGTTTTGCAGTGTTATGATAGTCTCTACGAAAACATACCATTTTTATGATCAAATAAATGAGAAAACATCGGATTCGCATCCGATTGTTACGTGTACTGCAAAAACTAAGTCGAGTTATATATGTTTTGAATAATTCTGAGAAAAAAAAATTAAAAAAAATCCCTGNTCATCCTTGTACCCCTCAGGGATGGCCTGGTAAATAATGACAATTTTTTCGATAACTCAGCCATTTCTTGGCGGATCCTTCTCATCTTCGAAGTCGACTGAGATATCGATGAGGTCATTCTGTGTACAAAATTTCAAGACAATTGGATGAGGCTTTCAAGAGTTATCGTGTTAACGGCCGGACACACTGACCGAATCTAGAGTGTACCCATTCTTTGAGTATACAATAAAAAAGAAACAATAGTGTAGATTAGATCAACAGTTTTTATATTTTTATAAATTAAAAATTACAAATCTAAAAATCTGAAACATACGGATTCCTTGTTAACTCAAGTTATGAGGTAAAAAATCAATTGATACTTGCATATTCATATGAAGCTTGAGTTCATAACTTTTCAAAATATACTCGCTTCTCGACTGAAATTTTAAGATTAAACTGATAGCTTTTGATGTCTAAACTTAATCAAGTGAGTAGAACTTGATAGCTTAGTATTTTCCTCAGATGTTTCTAATTGATTCACATGAGCTTTGAAAATGAATCTAAAATTGAAGATAAAGATGATCTATTCAATCGTTCCACTTTATATGAAATTCTTAAGAATATTGTCGATAGAAAACAAGTATCCAAATGAGAGTGAAGATGTTTTCAAATCGAAGCAATTAATTTATTAAAGCATAACAAAGTGTGTATTTGTAAGAGAAGAATATATTCTCATCTTTCTCTATATCCTCAATATGATGAAGAGAAGATTTGCACACCCACATCCTGAGGATTTCATGCCAGTTTTATTGAAGTCGTACCTCAATATACTCAGATAATGGAGGTGCTTTAGGAAACAACAAAATCCGTGAAATACTTGTGGAATTCCGATTTTTAGATCATAAATCGGTTGCTATCTTACTTTCAAATTGATTTCCGCATTATCCTGGATGCAGAAACGTATTCGGGTAGGATTGCCATTTTCAGAATGTTTCTGAACTATAAGATTATATCGATTAATCACAACGACTGAGTGTGGACCACATCCCGTTGTTTCTGGATGTACTAAGTGTACACAAATCAGTTTAGGGATTCAAAATGCAATGAAATCAGTATAAATAATGAGAAGCCTTTACTTTCTCAGTCATTTTCCTAAAATTTATGTATATCCGCTGTTACAAAATAAAATGTCCACCACTCGTTTTTGAATGTCTCAACAATATAATCAGCTGGACAAGTGCAGCTCTCACCAACGGGTAGAAAACGTTATGGGGCACAAGTTTATAAAAGAGCCAAGAAGATATCACAATATTTTTTGAAATTCTTTATTGTAAATAATATATATATATATATATATTCATTTGTGCGTATAGAAGAAAAAAAATTAAGTGGTCAAGTATCCGAACGATGTAAGGCGTTTGTCATACAATGAGCACCACCACATCCTTCAATCAAGCCTTTTGGGGGAAATGTTTCTACACGACATGGACGTTGTCTATCGTGTTCCATTTGATGGATTATACCATTGATAGGATCACCGCCTGCATAAGTAATTACAATTTGATTTCCCAAGCACAACATATTATCACGACACTGATGTTGTTCTGCAATGGATGTAGCTTCATCAGCCGCATCATAAAATTTCAATTCAACATCACCCAAGAGATGTCGCAACGCCTCACGCACATCTCTGCCATGTGAAAGCCATTCTGTCTTGGCACCTTCTTCTCTTGGTGTCTGTACTGTGTAGACAGTCAACTGTTGAGCTAAATGACTAAGGCAAATGAATGAGTGACGACCGACCGAACTCATAACGGTATCCAAATGCATATAATCACGATTTTCCGGTAATTCAATAGCAATCACTCGAAGAAAAAGTCCAGTGCGTTCGACTCCTTCAATACCAGCCCGATTTGTTCTTTCACCATTACCGATAAGAAGTGTTCCATGCCCGATATAAGCCACATCGCCACCTTCAGCAGTTGCCGTAGAGTCTTTATGAGTTTCCCAGTCCACTATATGAATGCCACGAAATGACAGATGTTCATGGAATGTATGGAAAGTAAAAATGACACGCATAATAAGCGGTTCATTGCGCCGCGTGGCTTGGCCATGCGCCATTTGAAGACATTCTTTTCTATTATGGAGAAAGAATCACGAGTGAACAATAGATTGGGTAGAGGAGGTATTAAAAAGTCATTCTTCGATGAACGAGCATTGAGAAGGATTGATTTTAAACTTCCGCTATTGTTGAGTTCCTCTTCTGTGCAAAGAAGGCCTTCCACTACAGTATGAGCTAATTGAGTTGGTGTTAGGCTGTGAAGAAATTGAGCGAGAGCATCGGATACTTCTTTATTAGAAAGATCACTATGATCCACGATGCCATCAATGAGCATTGCTCGTGCGTGGGAACTATGTTCCAATGTTTCACGAAGAAGATTTAATACATAACTGCTGTTCAGAAACTTGCTGCAGTCACAGAAGCTCTTCTTTCACTCCGTCGAAACCAATTACGCAGTATCAGAAAAATTCTATAGAAGACTTGTATATTTTCTTTGCGTAGAGCATCAGCAAAAGCATCGTGCGACTGGTGAGTCTCATCGATATTAGGTATATTGTCGAATAAGAGTATATCTTTGTTTTCTGGTGTGAGACGTTCAATCTCTCGTCCAGGACGATGCATCAATACTGCATCAAGTTTATCAGATTCCGAATAAACACCGATCAGTTGCTTGTGTAAGGCATAGTGGTGAGCTTGGGGTCGATGGTGATGATGACGATTATGTCCATTAATATTGTGTGTAGACAATTGAGACATGATAGGCAAGAGAAGTAATGTAAAATAAATTCCAGGATTCTTATACACAAAGCCGGTAAGGGGGGAAATGACTCATACATAAAATTTTTCTTTTTCTTTTTCACTTGCATCTATTAAATCATATCAGTTCTTTTTCAGCGCAACATGACGCAGAATGACGCCCTATTCACGGCTTCTCTTCGTTCTTTTGCAATGAGTAAGTAATCAAACATAATAAATAACGTAGTATCGCTATGTGCGTCGTTTGGTATTCCTTCTACAGGCATCAAGTGCTCGCCATTAAAAAGTCTCACCCTACCCCACCCTTTATTTTTCTCGTGAAACGTAATACTCGAGTTTACTTTCATCTATAAAACAAGGGGAGAAAAAGTAGAATATCTCGTTGATAAATATATCATGTATAGATAAACACTATCTGAAGTTTATTACAGGTATATAGTCGTCTGTATCAAGATACTTAACATTTTATCCCACATAGAAGCACATATCAACGATTCATAGAAACCATGTATTTGCGTTAATAAAACGTTCCATTGAGGCGATTCTCATACATTATGTTGAGTTTTCAATAGTCCTCGATGTCGAATGAACCTACGATGCATCTCATCATTATTTCGTCGAACCCATCAATTTGAGCGAAGCAATTTTTTATGGTGAAAAAAAGTTGCTTTTTCTTTTCTGTAGTTACAAAAATTGATTACGTTTATGTTGGCGTGATTGATAAATACTATTACAAGTATAGCTTGTTTGTGGAACATTTAAAATTTTTTTTTCTAATGAAATATGTGAAAGCAATATTATTTATGACAACTTGTGTGTTAATATGAGTGTTGGTGAAGTGAGCACCAATGCAGACCCACATGAGTGTGTGATGGTATTCGTGTAGGTGATTCATCTTTTGTCCCACACCCACACTCAATTAGGCGAATATTATCCTAAATTTTCACACTTGTAGTTCTCACTTACAAAGAAGATTTATACACTTAAATAATGGCGAGAACTGTTTTCTATGACGTGGTAAACGTTTTATTGATAAAAACACCTAGAATAATTAATTCTTATCATACATACAACAATCAATAATACAATAAATTATATTTTTTATACATTGCCAGAGTCTTTTTTGTTGATTGAATAGCCGTTTTTCTTAATCAAAGCTTGTAGTCGTCTGGGTATTAAGTTGATCCATGTAGAACACATTCCCGGAATGATTGTATTCCAAATTGTTACAATTCTTTTTTTAATAATGATACACTTTCAAATTCTTCTTCTAATTTCTCTTCAATGCCGGTGATCCAAAAGTTATGCAATATTTTTGCTTTTACATGTATCTCGGTTCAGATAACAGGTAAAATTTCAACTTTAGTTTTAAAAGAAACGCGATTCAATTCTCTATAAACTTGTATTCACGTTAATTTAAAATAATAGAACTGAACGTCTTTATGGAGTCGAATCAATACATGACATATCTCAGTGATAATATCATTAGGATTTTCCAAAAACCAAAGTGTCACCTATCCACATACTATAGATAAATGGTTAGATAATAGGGTCACGGTCACGCCTGATTGCGACCAGTTTTTAAAAAAATCCGAGACCATGACTAAAAATTGTACTCACAGGTGTTACGTGACCGAAGGTTTTATCTATCTATCTACGCATTTATCTATTTATCTATCTATATGTGGATAGGTGGCACTTTGATTTTTGGAAAATCCCAATGATATTATCACTGAGATTTGTCATGCACTTATAATTACGGCCATCGAGGTTTGAGACACGTTACAACATTTCTTCAAGTAACAAAAAGTACTCACACATTGGATGTATTTAACATAAAGCTAATAAAAGATGAAAAATAGATTGCGATGCACATGTACATGAAAAGATCAAACAAACGTAACTATGCTTCAACCATTTCGATTATTTAAATTCTAAATAACCATATACTGCCCACGGCTACACCTTCCAAATATAATTTTTCTTAATGTTTGCAAAAACTTTATTCGAAACTTGAGAAAATACACGTTTGAAAAAGAAAACTTTCTTAGACTATAGTGAGTATAATAGATAATTGTCAAAATGGTTAACATTGATGTTCACTAAGTGTTGGTACCGCGATGGGTATGCTGGTTGGATCTATTTGATAATGGTTCAGATTGAATCGATGTTTCAAGTAGATTTGAATCGTTCGTCGAAAGCGTGGTGATGAAAGAAGAAATATATAAAAAGATGAGGCAAAATTGATACCCACGATAAAGGCAGATAAATAATCGGCAGTAAATATAATTGATAGTTGATCAAAATTTCTTGTTGTGTTCTCGCCGATTGTAGCGATGGAATAAATAACGAAAATGACTCGAGGCAATGTACACAATATACTTAGAAGAGTTTGAGTCAACATCATTCTTGTCATTTGATGTTCCCATATTGATAGACGATTGTGATTTGGTTGATGATGAACATGTGCGATAAATCGAACATTACGGTATGTCAACAGTCCAATCATTATGAAAACAGTTAGAGGAAGAAAAATAATTAGGATTGAAGATAGAACAATAGGTCCTGTTAGCATGAAGAGATCGTTCGTGAATCAACAAGCGAATGTTGATGGAATAAGATCACAAGAGATGAGGATAGGAATATTCACAAGTGACCAAAGAATAAACGGAAGAAGCAAGAGTCGACGAGCTACTTGAATCGAACTCAACTGACGCATTCGAACCATTTGAGATATACATGCCCATCTATCAAATGCAGACAAACAAAGAAAAATCATTGCAACAGACATCGTCATTTTAACAGAAAAAACCATGAACTTACAAGCGATCGATGAAACCGACAATGATGTGGAGGGAATTATTTGAAGAAACACGACAATGAAGACATTTGCATCAGCTAATGATTGTCCCACAACATAATGAGCCGATGATGATCAACGAAATGTTTTTATGCCGGCGAGTGTTACTGCATCAAGACACGCCCGCTGGAACTTCAATTGAAAATAAAATAATTAGACCCCAAAATCTGATTTCAAGAGCTGTTTCAAAGATTGACATAATTATTTGTCTTTTGTAAAGATCGAACTAGTACTTGCAAGAATCTTCTTCAATTGAAATTTCGCTATCTGGTTTTGCTTTGTTTCTCTATCATTCATAGAGTACTCTCAGACCTATCAACAACAAATGAATCACGAAGACAAAACCTTATAGGAAATTATTTCAGATTGAAATAGTCGTATCAGCATCTTGCTAAATATACTCTTCGTTGATGAGAATTATACGCCTGTCTTACAAGAGTGATTATATGCTCGCATATCCTGTAATCATTTATTTGATATATGTAAACAGCGTTTCTAATAGAAATCTAAAACAGAAAGCCAAATTACATTTTGTTTTTATCATAAAAGTGCACAATAATACTATTTTTTCATAAAACAAAGTATCATAGCGTATCCCAGGTGAAAATCGTTAGGATGAGATTAAAAACGTGAAACCTCTTTAATATTTATATTAATATTAGATGCGAATGAAATACATAAAGCTATCAACACATTAGAAGGCCCCCTTTAAATCAAAGAGGCAAAATAAAGATTAGAAGAGCAACTCACTATCACTCTTTGACTTTTCATTTTTTTTTCTTCATAGTAATAGCTTTTATTTGTATAAGCAATTTGTTTTCGATAGTATAAATTGTAAATTAGCAGATTTAGTTATATAATATGTTAGTATCAATACCTAAGTTTAGTTTTTATCTTCTGCATACCTCTTTTCTTTTTACAAAACAAAAGTGCATACTTCTTGTTATAATTAACTGAAGATAGACTATCTCTTAAAGATTTAAAGAAAGCTATGCTCTTTCATTCAAAACATTTACAGAAGAAATGTGATATGGATCTATTTATGGGCTTTGATTATTGTATTACAGGCTGTTGTCTATCAGAAAAAAAGAAGAATGAGTCTCTAAATGCATGGGCTAGATCACAGAAGACGCTTTTCTATCAGGTGCAGTCGTGTATGATCCATTGATGAAAAATAATAGCATTATATGAATATGTTCGTTGTTACTTAAGAATCTTAAGTTACTAATGTAAAATAAGATTAGTTATGTTTCTCTTTGATTCAATACACTTTATGATGAAGACAGTCCTATTATAAAAGGACAAGAAAAAACAATCAAATTAAAAACTCAAGTAGTTCAAAGTTTATCTATAATCAAAAAATTAAAAGAAACGCACAAAGAGTTTTTCAGAAAGTGTCAAGTTATTAGATGCTCTGTTATCATAGTGAATCTTTGCTGGTAGAGACACTGAATATATATGGTCTACTAAATCGTTTCCTGTTCACTTCCAAAACTAGATAGTGCAGTTTTCATGATTATACGCAAGTATTGGGTCAGAGATCTATTGTAAAATGTTAAGTTTGTAAGAGAAGAAAGAATTCATTCTTAGCACGAGTCATGATAATCGTTGAGACTTTTGTTTTTATTGAAAAAAATATTTAAGACAAGCAAAGTCAACCAAGAGTAACGTTCTTGAAATTGATTCATTTAATAAATAAACTAGTTGTTCTTTAAAACTCAAGTATGTCATGAAAAATACTGCTTATGATTTTTCAAAGAATCCCGTTCAAAGTGTAATATTAATATTTATCATGATGTTTTCATCGGTAATTTTACAATTGCTTGTGTTCAAACAATAGAAATTGAAAGCACACTATTGCATTATTAAAGCTAACATAAACTGATGCTTTTTGTCGAGCATATTCGAAGTTACAGATACGTTAAGATCAGCTAAAGATTGTTGATCGATGATTAACATGAAGTAAACCTCTGCGGGAGCCTGAATGAAATATGATAAATAAAATATTTAGTTTTTCTTCTTCGAATTATTAACTATTATCGTCTATTATAATAATTATGATTTTGAAACACGCCTTATTCATCTGCAATGTCTTGCTTTCACATATACAACTCTGCTAGAAAATATTTTCGTTTTGATGAGTGTGAGAGTTGGTGTACACAACTGAGAATATGCTCACACCCACACCCACTTCGCACTTAGTGCTTTGAATTTGAGTATCGGCATGTTTACATAAATCGAAGGACTTTGAATAGTGTGATTATACTGTCGCACATTTCAAGCAGGTCAATAGTGTTTATTTTTGAGTGGTAGCTGGTTTTCTCTTTTTTCTGTTCTTCTTCTTTTTGAATTTGAATGAATTATTTTTATCGTGGGTGGACAAGTGGCTGTGCAATTTAAATACCCAATTCTTCAACTGCACATAAGTACTTATATTGCTATCATACGTAGGGAGCCGAAAAGCAAATAAAAAATAACAACATTTCAAAACAATTTTTAAATTTTCACTATGCTAGCTAGCATCCTCATCTTACTGCTCGCGATAGGTGACAATATATATTATTAATAAAGAAGACCTATTCTATTGAGTTTGAGAAAAGAAAATTTGATTTCAAGTATATATTTTAGAATAAGAAATAAATCAATTTGAAAAACTAACAAACAAGAAAAGAAAGTTTTACTTGATTACTGAGAAAAACTTTGTCAACTGATACTGTTCCATCTTTTCTCAAGTAATATTAACTCGACAAAGTTGAGGAAAACGTTTAAATTACTTCATAAAAATCACTTGGTTCTGGTTCAACATTGTATACTATAAATCCAGACAAAATTTCACACAAATTCAAGAATGTATTAGTAAATAGCATGTCAGAAATCATGACACTATTTTCGTCTTCAATATTATTTAGTTCAGACGAACAATTTCTCTCCAAACATATGAATCAGTTTCAATATCTTCCTAATAAATATTTTTCACATGGCCTCAATTCAGTATTATTAAGCATCTATCGCCAACACGACAATATTCAAATTCTATTTTATCAATTATTATCACATTCATTTCTTATACAATCAAATAATAATTTAAGCAACCGTTATATATTTCAACAATCGGCTTTTGAAGAAAACCATCAATATTTCGATTCTAAATGATGGTAAACAATCGAAATATTCAATATCTTCATCACGTTCAAAACCACTTTCAAATTCACCTTTACGAGCCAAAAATCAGCAGTGTTTAAACTGCCAAGAAAGAAAATTTCCAAAGCTTCATAAAATTGGAAAATTCTACTTTCAACAAATATAGGAATTAATAAAAACCACTCATTCACACCCACACTTTGGTACCCTGTAGTAATAACTAAAGTATCAATGCATGGAAACTTGTCAAAATTTCAATGTTTACCATAATTTCTAATAGTTATAGCTCTTTGGCATGTACGTAGCTACGATATTGATAAATTAGTAGACCGTACCACTCATATGATTCAAATATCGAGAAATTCTCTCTAATAAATAGGGCATAGTAGTATTTCAGGAAATACAAATAGCTAACAAATGTAGAGAATATGCATCCTATTCCGCAATGTTGAACGTTCCGGAACCAGTTCCGCTCACGGAGCCCATTCCATCTGATTCCAGCAATTCCGTCTAATTCTCACGGATTCTGTTTTCACGGAATTCCGGAATTCCGAACCGGAATCGGATCATCACTACATAGATAAGAGAAGATAGAATAGTAATATAAGTTGTAATTCCGTGCGATTCCGTGAATCGGACGAACTGATTTCGGAATCGGACAATGTTTAGGTTTGACCTAGTTCCGGAATTGGCGGAACTGATTCCGGAATAGGATGACTGCTCCAAATATGATCCTCTCACATATTGAGAAAAATATGATAGAACAGAAGCTGTACTACTACAATATAAATGGTAAATACTTTTGCTTTTGTAACAAACCGACTGGGAAAACGTATATAGCACACTTTTAGAAAATGCTTTAAGCATTCATGTTGACATTCCATACGTTGAAATTGAAGATACGATAACCGAGAAATGAATTTGAGCTATGGCTCCTCGGGTGAGCTACGCGTTTGTACGGCACGACGTAGAGACAACGGAAATATAATGATAGAGTGGTGGTGTGACTATGGTGGAGATGTGAGAGTTGACAATAATCATCCAAATGCACACGAACATCGAGTGCCACACCCACATACGTGAGCGACTCAGAGAAATGTACGAGATAATTAAAAAGTGAAGTGGCTAATGTTTATGAAAAATTCTTCCAATAACCAAAACATTATTCTAAATAAACAGACTCAATTTTAAGACCTTTTCTCGACTGAATATTTCTTTTGAGCGTCTACTAGTCATTTTGTTATCTTCTCGAAGGAAATTTAACCTTTACTTGTAGAAAGTATGATCTTGCTGAAACCATGGTGGATATAATGTGTTGTTAATTGAAGTAAACAACTTCAAGAGTCATATTGTTTTTACTTTCACTTTCACGATCACACTCAAACACTTAAGGACATAAAGAGAACACTGTTCACAACGAACAACTGTTGAGTTACATAAAATTGCATTTGAAAGAGTGATGGATCCGCTTGCGCCCAATTCCCAACATCAATTTTTTACAAATGTTCAGCCTTATGTAAGATATTTATCATTACAGTTTCTAACAAAACTAGAGATTATTTTACCAGAATTCAATGATGCCGAATGTGAAGGGTGAGCATACCAACGTTAAGGAAACGAATACCGCATTTAAACATATGCCATCGATAAAAACTGCGTAATAAATATTTATGTAGAACTTTGTGACGTCATAGAAAACACTTTGAATTTGTCTATTTGCAGGAAAGAATCACAATGTAGTTGGCAGAAGGTTTTGACCGTTATATGTATCATCCATGCCATCATCCTTGTGGTCGCTGTGATCGTCATTCCAATCTATATCAGTCGTCTGATTATATCAGGTTTGTTGTCTCTCGAGTATCATATTTGAGCCTTTTGATTTTCTACCTAGAGTAGATCATTACGCCTTTCTGTATATAATATTTATGTTAAATCAACAGACTCTTGATTACTGAATAAATGAGGAGAAAAGGAATTATTCAGTATTTTCTTTCTCTCTGCCCTGTGATAATTCATGCGCGCAGAGCAACCTGAAAGTAGGCTATTCACTGTTCTGCTAACAATCGAACGTGTTTTCTTTTTATACAGAAGGCTTAGATACATTTTCAGAACTTTGAATAGTCTTACGTTGCGATCTCCAAAAGCCTGTAGTGCTTCATTCGCAGAGGGTAGTCGCACTTATTTTCAAAAACTGCGTTTGGAAATATGGTTGCGATGGAGTGGCAGGGAAGTTGAGCGAGTAAAACTCAATGTTGATATGAAAAATAGCTCAATCAAAGACCATACATGGGTGAACAAAAATAAATGACACATGGCAAAAGTATTCCTACATCGCTTTTATCTTGTAAAGATTTATTTCATTTTATTATATTTGTTAAAACTCCAAAGTCGAATAAGAGATTTTGAAATATGACTAAGAATAATATTTCTGTCAAATAGTCGATGCAAAAGCTCGAAATGCTTCGACTCTGGAACAACCCTATCTTTTTAAGTGTCATTGATTTCATATATGATTTCGAAGAGTTAACCATTGTGAAAATTTATTCTTGTTTTAGAAATCACGACAACAACTGCTGCTACAAGTAAACAATTCTATCCTTGATGTATTCAGTAGAAAATGTTCTTTATTTATAGCAACTGTATACTTACCCAATCAATGCTCTAACTACACACTCGATACAGATGCCACCCGCCTTTCAACGTACACTATTGGTTCGTCAGGTTGTGATGTTACTACTTATGCTACACCACTAAAATATTGTTCAAAAATATACATATGCTCAACCGTCTTCTTAGGAGTAACGGTATTTTAACGGATCTCCTAGATATGTGAATAGTTACTTGGGTACGTTTTACGGGTGGAGGTGCAACTCAATTAGCTACAACTACTCCTCAAACTTATCGGTGTGCAACATCGGCCACAGGTTGGTTAGTTAGCGCTCTACCATCGACTGTTGGTTCAGTGGTTACCGGACTCGTTTGTTTCAACTGGTCAAGCAATATTTGCTACTGGTCTAGCACGATTTCGGTTGCTAACTGTAATACCTTTTATATCTTTCTCCTTGTTTCTCCATCACAATGTAGTTTGCGCTATTGCACTCAATGAAGTAGACATTGCTTGTTTTTTCGATCTTTTTTTCAAATATACATAGAAATTTAAGTCTAACGAAGATTTTTGTTTATTGAGAAAATTAAGGGCGTGAGGGTTGATACCGTTTTTCTCGTGACCCAGATCCATACCCACATCTTAATGCTATTGGCAAGCGTTGTAATTTCATATGGATGAAGGCGTTCGAAACATCGAGCATTTATAATTCGACAACATTTCTCATTGTATTCATTAATTGCCTTGTGTTGAGCAAAAAGGAATAAGTGACTGTTGAGTTTTTTTCCATTTCTGCCAATGAAAATTGAGTTTGCTTTTCTTTCATTCCAGCAATGCAGTGCAATATGTATTGTATGCGTATTAAAACAAAAGCATCACTTTTCATTCACTTTCATCATACGTTTCGTCGTCAAACCATCAGCCATACATTAGTGATGATGTGGTAGTAACATGATGGCAACACAACGAAATTCACTCAAAGATTAGCTGTCATGTGAAATCAACGCCTGTGTACGAGTGAACTGATCTAATGTGACAGTAATTGTAAAGTCTTGAAGAACCGCCCACTTAGAGTGAGTAAAGAATAATTTGAAAGTAGACCAACCACGTTAGACTATTCTCTTAGAAATTTTTTCTAAGAGAATAAGGCACGCATGCATCGTCTAGGTCGAAGGTTTTAGAAATCGAACTTAATCAATCGATTATCGCTAAGAAACATATCTCATGCTGATTCCCATCAAAAATTTGATGCATCATTCGTTCTCACCATTTGTTTTCTTTTAAAATTACTTTTAATCGTACTACATGTTTTGTGAAACTCACATATATTTTCGAAGAAAATGGTGAGTGTAAGTCTAAAAGCGAGATTTTTGCGTCTCCTCCCCCCCCCNTGGAAAAATTAATGTTTTCATGAAAACATTAACATTAATATTAATGATTAATGAAAACATTAATTTTAAAATTAATGTTAATGTTTTTCATTAATCATTAATATTAATGAATTAAGTTTTTCTTAGAAAACATTAGCCATTAAGATTAATGGCTAATGGAAGTCATTAATTAATGTCATTAATTAAGTTCCGTTAAAAAAAATGGTCCACCCCTAGCTTAGGGTACCATTACAGACCATAGAAACTAGTCTCTGCCATTGTTAGATATACGAGCCAACAATTAATATTCCATTACAGACATAAGCAAATAGGCAATGACCTAATTATAGGTTTTGGATATCAAAGTAGATTTTTCCGATGGACTATTTTGAACTATTTTAGTAAGCCGAAGGGATATATGTGAGTTACACATTTTAGCCCCAATGGGACTGCGCTAACAAGCTTTTTATATATTTTTATTAAGGTTCGAACCTAAGATTGAGACCCTGGTTTTTTTAGTGAAATTTTTTTTAATGTTCCTCAGGACTTTATACTATACCCAATAATGCATAATTAGAACCCTTTTATAAATAAAACAAATGTAATATTGCACAATTAGAATTTAGGTCAAATTTTCATACTTGCTGTTGATAGTATCGAAATAGAATAGATACTTGTCTAATTACTTCACAAAAAATACTTATTGATTTGAAAATTATTTGTCACTGTTTTGGATTCTCAAAAATTATTTCTTTAAACACTTGATTTCATACGTCAATCATATCAGTTGACTTCCATTTCATGACGATGATATCTCGATGTTACATAAAGGAGAATGTTTAATTTTAGATTACATACGTATCTAGAGAAATACTGATCATAGCCATGGGAAACTGTTTTGCAAAAAATAGCCAAAGTAAATTTCATGACAGCATGCAACAACAATCCGATCTCTCCAAAGTCACACCAGTATCCAAGAATTCAAACTTGATCTGTCTGGATGCGTCTGCTACGCCTGAATCATCTAGACTGAAAAATCTATTGAGAGGTGCTTCATTTAATTTTGCCTCATTCAACGGCGAAAGAAGATTCATCGATCAGATCAACTCAACGCATGGGTCCCAATATATTGTTGTCGTTATCGGTAGAGTTAAGGAGGAAACACTGCAGTACTTGGTGAATAGTGCACAAGTGACAGCAATCTATTTGTGTCTCGGACATCTGAAACTTGACGGGATCCCGAAATCGACGAAAATCAAGGGGTATTTCGACAAGTATGAAGAACTTAAGAAAAAGATTTTTGAGGATATTAGTGCTAATTAGTGTTTCCAATCTTCCTGAGGATTTCGATGTGATTCAAAGCATTATACAATGCATCCCTTTCGTTGTACATTGTTTTGGGTAGCCATTTAATTGATGCTATGAAGTTTTCTGTACGTTCTCGTTTGTGTTTTTGCTTTGAGTTCCCCTTTGGGTTATCTATAACATAAGACGTTTTTTAAAGTTTTTAATGCGGAAGATTCTATCTATGAAATTCATGACACGGGATAAACTTTTAATTTATATTACATTTTTTTGTGTTCTTTCGCTTTATGTATCAAATAAATTCCCATTTGTTGCAAATGAACTAAAATGCATATCTAATGCTGTTTGCATTATACTGAGCTTGTAATGTTTAAAAATCGATTCATTCCAATACTGCTTTTTTGGTTTTTTACATATCAGGTAGGTTTCGAAGAGCTTTGACCGTACATCATAGCTTGTCTACCATTTGTAAAGTTCCTCTCTTACCATTTTGAAATTTCATACATCGAATTGCCAGCGGGGACATAATAATTGTATTTCATTCTTTTGTTTTCAATACTGTTGGTGATATGACTGTATCTTGCTGTTAAACATTTTCTAATACTTGATGAAATATTGAGTCACTCGAAGATATCAGTAGTTACTCGTATGAGCAATTGTCATTAATGAAGAATACTTTTAACAGTTTAGTATCGGTCTCATTGGTAAGCGTTCTATTAAAGACTAGAGTTTAGTTTTTTTTTCTATATAAAAATCGAAATCAAAAGAGATACCAATAAGTATTAAACAATTGTTAAGCGATTGTAATTGTGACACACCAAAATAATTAGATTGTATTCATCGACAACAAACATACATTTTCGATAAGTATAAAATGGGCCATATGCATTGTCTATCTTTTTCGCATGCTTCGTCTTTATTTTTTCTCTTCTTTTCTGTGTAATAACTTCGACAACATCGATCAAAACAGGTGATCTGCGCTGCAATATAACTATAATTATCATAAAATTGTGTATTTGTTTTTCATTCTCCTAGTTTTGCTTCTTCGATTCAACTGAATAGGTAACCTTATTTTATTTGTTTTATTTTTCAAATTTATTTCTGTATTCTATTCAAAGCAAAACAAAACTCGATGGCGACGAAACTTACGATTGAAGACGGTCTTCTCCAGGAAGAATTCAACAAATTTGATAAGGGTTTGTTTTATTTTACATTCTTTTTTTTACCTCCTCAGATGGATACTGTGCGCATCGTATTATTTTATTGAAAAGAAAGAAAACAAAAACCTTGATTTTATCATCCTTTTGAATTTGGGAATCGAAATATTTACTTTATGTCTATTTAGATAAGACAGGCAGAATATCTGCGATTAACTTTCGACAAGTTATAGTTCACGATGCTCATCTTAAAGTTTTTCATCCGTCAACAATCGATACCTACATTGCTACATTGAGTCATCAAACAGGATGGATTGACTTTGAACAATTTAAAGAATTTATGACGCTGGATACATCCAAATTCAAGACTTCTCTGATTACTATTGAACTGAAACAAGCATTCGATGAAGTTGATACCAATAAGGATGGGTTCATATCTCCACAAGAAGCACGTCTTGGTATTACTTTTGCTGGTCAACGCATACCAGGATCGCATTTCAGCGGCATAGTTCACATGTTTGATGATAATGGTGATGGGAAAATGTCGTTTGAAGAATTTTCGACTAATGTTATGAAATTATCTCATGAATAAATGAACAATACAGGCTAATATCTAGCTATTCTTATCGTGCCTATTACTCTCACATAGGAGTTTTTACAAATATTCAATATCTTTTGAATTTAAGATAATATTCATTTAATAAGTGTTTATGCCCTATCAAAGACTCTAAATTTTTTTGCCTGGTCTTATTTTCTTCTAAAATATTCAGATGAGATTAATTTGAGCGCGAACGAATACAATACACCGATACTCTATATGCATCCAACAAAAATTCTGCTAATACCTATTGATATTGATAAATTTTCAGACTAATCAAAAAGTTTGACTATTTTATTTACAATATTAGTGTGAAACGTTCAACAATCTATAAAGCAAAGCTAATATTAATTGTGTGCTCGTTTGTTTCGAAAACGAAAAGTCTAATTATTGAATAATTGGTCTTATGTAAAGGGTTTGCGTTAGTGTAGGTGTGGCTGAAGAAATGTCCTCAACCTGCAACCACACACACGGAGCCTTCCAGAACTTACAATTGTTTTTATCCACCTTCGCTGTGTAATAGTGCTCAACTTTCGAAAAGGACAAAACGATAGTGTACTACTCGGTCATCAAAGTAATAAGCAATTTGAACGAACAACGATACAGATTTTATTTTTAACTGTTATTGTTTGTTTTTCTACAAGACCATAATCATTGTTTAACAATGACTGGTAATCGAATTACTTTACGACCAGTCGTCTGTGCCATGCTATAAGATTCAAGAGGACTAATGCGTCCTTGACATCGCCAACATGGTACTGTGGGTCTGATTTTTTTTACCAGCTCAGGCAATGATCCGGCACATACGAATGGTAATAGAAGATTCCCAAAACATGCGAAGAAATTTCCATACAAGACAAAGTCGGCACCAAATTCTTCTGAAACACCACAGCTGTGTATGAATTCCAATAACAAGAACGGAATATATATAATCAGGTAAAGAAGTGAAATGGACAATAATTGTATTGTCATCTTGCGATGTTTATGCCAATGCATTGGTCGATGCATGCTACGTTTTTTTCTCACAACACGAACAAGAAGAGCAAGACTAAAGAAGATGATAATGATTGCTGGTGTAAGATCATGAATTATCACATCCCACAAACTCGCTACTTGACTGCCGTAAATGCAAAGTGGGTCACCACACCTTATTTGAGTATAGTCAAATGTATTTTGACAGGGTGGAAAAACAATCATGATAAAATTATACCCAAAACCATAGACTAAAATTATGACCAATGGGAGCACATGGATCAGAATGATCTGTTTTTTCGTTGTTATCCATTGGTTATGAAAGATGAGAATATGCCGTTCGACAGTAGCCCAAGCAACGAGTAACGTTATGGTGATATATAGTCCTTCATTAGCATAAACCCAAGCAATGCAAAGGCTGTGCGCAACAGACCGCACAGTACTCGATTGATAAAATTTGAGAGTCCATGGAACGTCGGTTAGTTCAACGATAAGATTGATGAGAACTATGGCAATAAAAACATGATTATATAGAGCTCGGCGTAGTGATCGACAAGCAAGAAAATGATAGAGAATGAAGATCGAACATATAACGGATGGAATTTCAAATATAAGAACAAGCCAAAAGCGACCAGCACGAGGAATTGCGATGTCGGTAGAATCTGACGATGAAATCGCATCGGAACTATTAACTTGGTTTGTCATAATCTGAAAGGAAAAATTATTCAAAAGAAAAAAAAATGTAAGAGATAATCGTTCTCACTTTTTCTTTTCTCACTGCTAATGTCATTTACCTAGCTCGCAAGTATCTTAATGTCGGTCTATTCTAAGTACAACTTGAGATTATTGCAA